TTCTGGGGGACGGGATCGTGTAAAAAGGCTCAGAGATATTTTTATGTTTAGACTTGAGTGGATTTAAATCAGAATAAAAGGATTCCAAGTGTTAGTGTGTGAGCAGGTTCCAATAGAAAAAGGGAAGAGTCCGTACCTCTCCACAGACCTGCGCAGTGAATGAAACACAAACACATGAGATCAGCTCGCGCACGGCGGGAACACCAACCAAAACTTCAATGAAAAATATTTTGTCTCTCAAGTAGGAGTAAAAGTACGCTGCTAGAAAAGTAATCAAAACATCTAAATGTTTTAAAAAGTTACTATATTAAATGTAACTCAGTATAAGTAGCTACTAGTACTATAAGTAGCTCCGCCCACACCCTTGCCCCACCCACACCTTTGCTCCACCCACACTTTTGCCCCGCCCACACTTTTGCCCCACCCACACCTTTTCCCTGTCCACACCTTTTCACCGCACACACCTGTGCCCCGCCCACACCTTTTCCTCACCCACACCTTTTCCTTGCCCACACCTTTTCCCTGTCCACACCTTTGCTCCGCCCACACCTTTTCCCTGTCCACACCTTTGCTCCGCCCACACCTTTTCCCTGTCCACACCTTTGCTCCCCCACACCTTTTCCCTGTCCACACCTTTGCTCCGCCCACACTTTTTCCCTGTCCACACCTTTGCTCCGCCCACACCTTTTCCCTGTCCACACCTTTGCTCCGCCCACACCTTTTCCCTGCCCACCTTTTCCCTGTCCACACCTTTGCTCCGTCCACACCTTTGCTCCATCCACACCTTTTCCCTGCCCACACCTTTTACCCGTCCACACCTTTTCCCCACTCACACCTCTGGCCTATCCATACCTTTGCCCCATGCACACCTTTTCCCCTTCCACACTTTTTCCCTGCTCACACCTTTTCCCTGTCCACACCTTTTCCCCACCCACACCTTTTCCCTGCCCTCACCTGTGCCCCACCCTCACCCTTTCCCCACCCGCACCTTTTCCCCATCCACACCTTTTCCCCACCCACACCTTTTCCCTTGTCCACCCCTTTGCCCCACCCTCACCTTTTCCCCATCCACACCTTTTCCCTTGTCCACACCTTTGCTCCGCCCACACCTTTTCCCTGCCCATACCTTTGCTCCGCCCACACCTTTTCCCTGTCCACACCTTTGCTCCGCCCACACCTTTTCCCTGTCCACACCTTTGCTCAGCCCACACCTTTTCCCTGCCCATACCTTTTTCCTGTCCACACCTTTGCTCCGTCCACACCTTTGCTCCATCCACACCTTTTCCCTGCCCACACCTTTTCCCCACCCACACCTTTTCCCTGCCTCACCTCTGCCCCACCACACCTTTCCCCTGCCCTCACCTGTGCCCCACCCTCACCCTTTCCCCACCCACACCTTTTCCCTTGTCCACACCTGTGCCCCACCCTCACCTTTTCCCCATCCACACCTTTTCCCTTGTCCACACCTTTGCCCCGCCCACACCTGTGCCTTCTTTGCCCCGCCCACGCCTCCGCCCCGCCCTCGCATGCACAGCAGGCAGAAGAGGAGTGTACCTGTTGTCATTCTCGTTCCTGATTGGGCCATTTCAGCGTGAAGAAGAGAGAGGGTGAACACGTGAGCAGAGCTGACAGAGGGTCAGGGGTCGGGGGGGTCGGGGGGGGCGGAGTTAGGGTCGGGATCGGGTTCGGGGTCGGGGTCAGGACACAGGGAGAACACACAGCTCCTAAAGCAGCTATCACACTCCAGAAACCATCTCCTCTTCTCAACGTTTAGTTTGTGTTTTATTGACGGCTACGGCTGCAGCTACGGATGTTTAAGGGAGGGTGAAGGGTCGTCACAAAATAAACAACTGATCACAAATAAATAAAAGCGTTAGTGAGCAAAGTGAAGGTTTAGAGCTTTCACCACAAACGATTAACGCTGAGAATCTAAAGTCCACTATGAGGGACGGTGACGTTTAGTTTAAATCGTCTGAAATTAAAAGCCAGGGTTCTGAGGAGGACTGCGGCTGTTAGAACATTGTGGACGTTCGTTAAAGGGTTTGTGAGTCGAGACAAACGTGAGCCGCGGTTCACAGGCCAGAGTCTAGTGGAACCTGGAGGAGCATAAAACAGAGCCAGAGTCACCAAACCTGAGGAGCAGCAGCTGAAGCACCAACACCAGCGTCCCTCAGGGTTTCTATGACAAATGTGTGTTTCATTTTTCATCACTCTGAAACCTGTGGATCATTGCTGGTTGAAAACCATGTGGAAATAACAGCTGCAACAACAGAATGGTTCAATTTAACAGATCAGAATGACTCAGGGTGAAAAGGGCTGGCAGAGGCTCTTGAAAAGTTCTGTATTTAAGCTTTATATTTTGATAAACTTTTCTGAGTTTGATCTAAAATCCCTCAGTCGTTCAGATAGAATCCATGTCAAAAGGAGAACTTCCAGTTCATCAACTGGACAAAAGCTCATCCAAGCTGCTTCTTTAGTTCTGGTAAAAATACTGGTGAACAACAGAGCTAACTACTCTGAAACTACTCTGAAACTAACACATCTACTTGTTTACAGTTTCTGTTTGTTAGCTCGGCCTGTTGAACTGTACTGATCGTCGTGTGGGGTCAGAATCATTCATGCTTTCATACCTCTGGACCAGACTGTCTCTATTGTTCTCTTTGTTTGTTTTGATTTAGGTTTGAGGATGGAGTTGTAAATAGGAGACAGATGATGTCTGAGGCCTCCATTTCTGTTCAAGGAAGGATTCTCTTTTCTTCTTTATCTCCCCTCTCAAACCAAGTCTTTTCTCTGGCTCAGATCTGTACTTCACTGTCCTCAAAAGAGCGACCCGAGGCTTTTAGGTGGAGCTGAACAGCAGACTGAGGTCCACTGCTGCTCTATCGTCTGTGTTTGTACATCCTCCTGTGAAGTGGCTGCAGTCTTCACGACACTTTACTGTAGTTAGCTCCTCCCTTCAGATACAAGGAAGTGTCTTCCAGCGTTTTGACCAGAACAGAAGAAGCAGCTTGGATGAGCTGCGAAAATAAACTTTTGTCTAGTTGACAAATTGAATTTCTCCTTTTGCCATTCTGCAAACGTTCACTCTTGGTTCAACATCAGATAAAGGAGAAGGTCCACGAGCAAGACTCCAAAGTTTAACAGATCAGAATGACTCAGGGTGAAAAGGGCTGTCAGTGACTCTTGAAAAGTTCTGTATTTAAGCTTTAGATTCTGATCAACTTTTCTGAGTTTCATGTAAAATCTCTCAGTCGTCCAGGTAGAATCAATGTCAAAAGGAGAAATTAAATTCATCAACTGGACAAAAGTTTATTTTGGTTGAATACATTTCGTGGCTCATCCAAACTGCTTCTGGTCTCGGTCTCAGTCCACTCGGGTCTCGGTCTCAAGTCCCGCTCTGGTCTCGGTCTCAGTCCCGCTCTGGTCCCTGTCTGGTCCCGGTCTATCCCGCTCTGGTCATTCTCCCTCAGTTCTGGTCCCTGTTGGTCCGTCTCAGTCCCGCTCTTGGTCCCATTCTGGTCCCGGTCTCAGTCCCGATCTGGTCCTATTTGTCCCCGTCTCAGTCCTGATTCTGGTCCCGGTCTTTCGGTCTCCAGTCCCGCTCTGGTCTCAGTCTCGAGTCCCACTTTTTTCTGGTCCCGGTCTCAGTCCTGCTCTGGTCCCGGTCTGGTCTCGGTCTCAGTCCTGCTCTGGTCTCAGTCTCAGTCCCGCTCTGGTCTCAGTCTCAGTCCCGCTCTGGTCTCAGTCTCAGTCCCGCTCTGGGCTCGGTCTCAGTCCCGGTCTGGTCTCGGTCTCAGTCCCGCTCTGTCTCAGTCTCAGTCCCATCTGGTCTCTCAGTCCCGGTCTGGTCGGTCTCAGGTCTGGTCTCGGTCTCAGTCCCACTCTGGTCTCAGTCTCAGTCCCTCTGGGCTCGGTCTCAGTCTCTGGTCTCGGTCTCAGTCCCCTCTGGTCCAGTCTCAGTCCCACTCTGGTCTCAGTCTCAGTCCCGCTCTGGGCTCGGTCTCAGTCCCGGTCTGGTCTCGGTCTCAGTCCCACTCTGGGCTCGGTCTCAGTCCCGCTCTGGTCTCAGTCTCAGTCCCACTCTGGGCTCGGTCTCAGTCCCGCTCGGGTCTCGGTTTCAGTCCCACTCTGGTCCCGGTCTCAGTCCTGCTCTGGTCCCGGTCTGGTCTCGGTCTCAGTCCCGCTCTGGGCTCGGTCTCAGTCCCGCTCGGGTCTCGGTTTCAGTCCCGATCTGGTCCCGGTCTGGTCTCGGTCTCAGTCCCGCTCGGGTCTCGGTCTCAGTCCTGCTCTGGTCCCGGTCTCAGTCCTGCTCTGGTCCCAGTCTGGTCCTGGTGTGATCCTGGACCTGGATCAGTCCTGTTTCAGTCCTGGTTCAGTCCTGGTTCAGTCCGACATCGCAGTCACGGAAGTCACGTAAACGGGAAACAGTCGTTATCCATTTTTTCCCATTTTTCATTTAAACACAAAATCGAAAACTGAAAAAAACGAATTATTATCCGTTTTTTCATTTTGGTTTTGGAGACAAATAATGAAGAAAACAGTTGATTTTTCGTTTTCTTATTTTTGGTTTTATATTGAAAAATGAATGAACTACGCGAAATCTTTTATTCCTTTTGCCATAAAGCTTTTAAATGGAAAGTAAATTTGCTGTTGTGTCCCTGATGCACTGAGGTTTGACTGTACCGCGTCTTTTTTTCTTTTTCTTTTATTATTTATAGATTGTGCACCACCAGAGATGTGCAAACTGAATTGCCCTTTGGGATTAATAAAGTTGCTGATTGATTGATTGGTTGGTTTAGATCATGTGACGCAGATCAGATAATGATTTAAACGACCGTATTTGGTATTTTACAGAAAACAGTTGCGTGTTTGATTTAAGCTTTTCAAACTGTCACGCGAGAACATTTTTTCCACAGTTTTTGCCTGAACTTTTTGAACAACTCTTGACCCTGAAACCTCCAGGGACACGACGGACGCACATTTGTGATCTTAAACGACTCTTTTTCTTTTGCAGTGGAGTTCAAAAAAGTATCGTACGTCTTGGATGATTCAAAGCAGAAGCAGAAAGTAGAAAAACGGTTCTCAAAGACGAGCATCTCCACTAGAACTGATCCATTATTACAAACCTAAACATAATATTCCTAAAGGTTGGTGGAGTTTTCTGTTCAGGAAAAGTGAAGCAAAGACACGTCATTTCAGAAAAAAACACCGGAGCGTCACCGACCCACAGCGGCGTCGCACACACGCAGACGCTCTGATGTTCTAAGACTTACTGGTAATCGAAGGATCCGTCTTGGTCTTTGTGGTCCACGGGGTCCAGGGGCAGGTCCTTCTTATCGCGCACTGACGGAGACACAGAAAAGACACAAAAATCAGACCAGACGCTCACACCGTTTACATTTGGACACAAAAAAGTCAAATTCAACACATTTTAGGGAAGGAGAGTTCGGATGTTTATCTCAAAATAAGGTTATTCAAGAGCAAACGTACCTTTAAAGGGATTCAGAATATTATGTGATTATTATTAAAAAGTGAGTATTTGTTATTATTGCAACACTTCCTGGGTTATTGGCAGAGACAGAAAGAACTGAAAGTGTGTTCGTCTGAGTCCGATTGAGAAATATCGCTCAAAAAAAAAGAGTTTGAAAGTTATTAAAGAGGCATTTTTGGTCCGTGTACCGTTCGTTCTTTTGAATTTCAATGAACGGAAAACAGTTTGTCATTTAATTTTTCCGTTTTAACGTTTTAATGTCAAACAAAACAACTGATTTCGACCTCTGTTTCCAATATTTAGGCTGCGTTTACACAGTTGGGTTTGTTGAGGAGCGAATATTTCCGTCCCTTCGTTTTCCAAAATAACATCGTGCTCAAAGCGTCGTTTTCAAAAAAGGTTTTTGTTTACGTCGACCCATAAATCCTCCATCGAGCGCCGTCAGAACTACAAGAAACCTCTGGATCAGATTCAAATCTGTAACGTTTATTTCATTACAGCTTTAAGTTTTACTCACAAATATGTTTAAAAACGTGCATTAGTGATTAGGGAGCATTAGGGAAACGCTGGTCGCACTTTCGTCGCGTCAGCTCCTAAAACTCCATTTATCTCACTTTACACGCAAACGCCAAACCAGAGTTTTCCAGAATCTTCTGTCTTGTCTGAGTTTTTAGATTAGTTTTACTTCGTTTCACTTTGTAGAAACCGTGTGACCTCGCAGCGTTAGGATTCGTTCGTTCGACGGTAGGCGGGTACTTTTTTCATTTAACCAATCGCTGCTGTTTGGTTGTGACGTTTGTAATGCGCCGCTAACGGGGACAAGTGGTTCCCAAACCCCGTAGGACAATAATGTCTTTCCCCAGACGTTGACAACGCAGAAAATATGTCTCTTCTCTGATTGGCTGGTGCCTGAACTCGCACTTCCGGGGTTTTTACGAAGCATCTAGTGTTTTCTGATTCCTGATCTAGTCGCTGGAGAGAAATGAAATTGAGCAAAGGCACTAGAAATCTAAATCCTCCATCGAGCGCCGTCAGAACTACGCCGAGAATCTGAGCGGCGCCTGGATCAGATTCAAACCTGTAACGTTTATTTCATTACAGTTGTAAGTTAAAATCGTGCATTAGTGAGCGGCTCGCCTCTCATTGGTCTCACTGGGAAATGTCGGTCGCACTTTTGGCGCGTCAGCTCCTAAAACTCTATTTACCTCTTATCCCACTTTACACGCAAACGCCAAACCAGAGTTTTCCAGAATCTTCAGTCTAGTCTGAGTTTTTAGACAGATTTGTTTTTCAGAGGTGAATTTATCTAGCTTGATTCATGAGCCGGTTTCACTTCATAGAAACCGTGTGACCTCGCAGCATTAGGATTCGTTCACTCGACGGTAGGCGGGTACTTTTTTTAATTTAACCAATCGCTGCTGTTTGGTCCTGACGTATGTAATTCGCCACTAACGGGGGTAAGCATAATAATGTCTTTTCCCTTGATAAAATTCACCAAACATTCTCTTTGTTCCGGCTTTAAATCCTCGATCTCGGGAATCGTTGACAACACAGAATGTCTGGCTCTTCGCTGATTGACTGATGCCTGAACTCACACTTACGGGGTTTTTGCAAATCGTCTAGTGTATTTTGATTCCTGACCTAGTTGCTGGAGAGAAATGAATTTGAGCGGAGGCACTAGGTGACGCCAGACTGACTAGAATTCACTGTTTGCATGTAAAAGATGGGTACAAATGTCTCAGTTTTAAAAAAAATACCTGTGTTCGTGTAAACGGAGCCTAAATTAAAAGTTTATTTCAAGTAACACCAATCAAAAAACAGTCATCGTGCCTATTTCAATTTTGATATTTTACACTCTCTGGTCACAAAGGAGAGTTTATCGCTGCTTTCTGTTTCTCGTCATGGAGTTCAACAATCAGTTTTTAATACATGAAAGTAAACGCATCGCTATAAAAGAAGACGACATATTTAAATGTCTAAATAATTTCACTTGTGGATCAGTAAAGTTGGTCTCAATCCACAAAATTGCAAAGATGTTTCAGGTGTGTCCTTCTCACAGCAGAACTTCCGAGTCAAATAAACCAGAGAGAATAAAATATCAAACTTAAAGTCGGCACCAGCCCGGGTTAGTGGTTCAGAGTTTTATCTTTGCAGAATTATTCAAACATAGAGGACGGGGTTACTTATGAAAAAATTAAGAAATGAAACTCCCGGCACAGCACCTACCCAGAGGTTTTGTGAAAGCAGCTGTCCAACCCCCACCTAGACACCACACACACTGAAAAACACAAGACGAGTGGGACCCTGCTCCGCGGAGGAGGGTCGCCGTGGTAACCGTGTCCAATCAGGAACATTTGTGACATTTCTACGCTCACGCTAAAAGACGCTCTACTAAAAGAGAAGTCACACTAACAGGACAGAGCAGAAGCTTTCCTGAGCATCTTTAGAATGACCTGGAGCTGGATCAGAACAAGGTTTGGACCTGGTTTAGACCCGGTTTAGACCTGGACTACTCCTGGACCACTGAGGGATTACACAGATGTAAGGAGAAAGTTCAACCATTTAATGTGGAGAATCACATTCTACTGTCTCAAGAAAGTGTTCTTTTGTTTTTTTTTTGTTTTTTTTGTGGTATTAGAATTTGTATTCAGGGTTCCCATGGTCATGGAAATCCTGGAAAAGTCATGGAAATTGAAAATACAATTTTCCTGGACTGAAAAAGTCATGAAATTTTGTAAATTCAATGAAAGGTTTTGGAAAAGTCATGGAATTTCAGTATCTCTTTCACGCAACTCCAGTGTTCTGTTAAGTTCTCATTATTAAACTACTCTGATTATTTGTGAACGTCTGCACCTTTTGTTTAAAAGAGACGACAATAAATGCACTGACAGGATTTTGAATGTTAAAAAACTATAATCCCAAACCATAATGTGAGTGGAAAGAGTTCACATTTCAGATTTCGCCCTAAAACTATGATCAGTTCTACACATGTAGGTGCTGTAAAGTCATGGAAAATTCAACTTTAGCTCATGAAAAAGTCATGGAAAAGTTTTGTCAGTGAAAAACAGTGGAAACTCTGAGTATTGAGTATTGAGTCTAAGATAATTTATGCATTATCAAAGTATGAACAACACACTGGTCTGATAAAAAGAATCTTAATTTTAAAACTATAATCGCACATATTACTCAGAATTTACTCTTGTGAGCTTTAAGTCGTGTTTAGCGTTGCTCCTTCCTCAAAAACAAACCTGGACTTGTGTTTTGTTTCATTCACATGTTTGAGTAACTCTTTATTATTAGTCTGTCTACATCTCCAACACTCGAAACGCTCTGTTTTGTCTGTTTGTCTGTCATTTTACTTTTAGTTCAGTCGAGATCGGCAATTCCAGGACTGAATGAAATGATCCAAATGATTCTAGTGAAGGCGTGTGGAGTTTTAAAAACACAGTGGAGCGTTTCGTGTATCACCGCATGACATCACAAGGTGGAGCAGGGTGTTTTCAGTTTGAGAGAAGCGCTCGGCCTAAATAAATGTGCAGGGTTTGTGCGTTAAACTTGTGTGAATGAAACAAAAAAACACAACTCCAGCTCGAGGAAACTGCATTAGAGAATAGCGTAACATGGGCTTTTTAAGAATGTCTCTTGTTTGTGGCGGGTGCGGCAGGTGCGGCAGGTGCGGCAGGTGCGGCGGGTTCGTGGTCTCACCTGGGTACTTCCCTCCTCGGCTCCTCTTGATGAAGCACACGATGAGGAGGATGAGGATGATGAGGGCGATGGCGCACATGAGGCCGATGAACCAGCCCTGAGTGGCGATGTCCACCTGGTCCATGTAGGCTGAGGACAGGGACAAAGAAGTGAGACAAAGAGAGACAAAGTGAGACACACGCAAGAGAAGAAACCGTTTATCAGGGAATGAGACGAGACCAAATACGAGATTGGGTCCACGAGAACGAGATTTTGTGTTTTGTTTCCATTCTACTGCTTTATGGAACTGTGAGAGGCGAAGGAAACACACCGACCCGAAACCGTTATTTTGTACAACTATTAAAGGTTGTATGGAGGATTTTTTTTTGTTTCAAATTGTCAGTGATAGATTATAGAGATGCAGTCGCCTTGTAATTATGATGACCAAAAAAAAATTCATCAACTCTGGACGTGGTGGGGCTAAACATTTGCCAATAGATAACGACACTGCCTCGTTATCTGTGAGCTGACAGGCTGTCAATCAAACTCCCTACGTTTCTAGCGTAACTGACTTGCCTGTGCGCTGCCGTTACGTGGTTTACGTACGACTGTCACGCAGTCCACAGACGCACAGACGCACAGACGCTGTTTACTCCACCAACGCAACAGTTCTTAGCGGCTTTATTCACAAATTACTCCTGGACAGGAAACTTCTGCTTATTATGAAAATGTACTTTATTTCCAAGAGCTACACAAACGTTTTTCAGGACACGAATGTGATATCCTATGTCTGAAAACGTAATTTTCAAGGCAAAGAAAGAGTCCGCTTGCTGCTGCGTGTTGTAGCTAGTTCATTCACACTGAATCTCCGCGCAACCTTTCCTGTTCCTCTCCTCGCTCCCCGTTCCGCTCTTCCCCCCGCTCCTCACTTCTCCGTCTTGCCTAACCAACACTGTAGTTAGTTGTTTACAAGTCATGTGCAGCGCACCGGCTGTAAACAAACCTGTTTCTGGTGTAAGGATGAGGCGGAAGGAGGCGTTTTCTACGTAGGAGCTGTAGGGGAGGGGGGGTGGTTTCACGCATGTGCAACATTTGAAAAAGGACAAACAGTCGCTGGATTTCTCGTTCCTTGGAAAATCCTCTATACAACCTTTAAAAAATCTCACTAGAACATTTTTCTCATGTGCGCACGTCTCATGAGATCTCGTCCCGTCCCTACCGTTCATGGAGCAGAATTTGACCCAAACGGGATGGACAATGATGGAGACCCGACTGTCTCCGTGTTGCAGTTCTTTTACAACCCCAGAAACAAACCCGGCACTGAGAGATTCTCTTAACGTTTCCTCTTAACCACATGTTTAACTAGAATTAATCAAAAAATCAGATGTAACAAGATCACTGCAAGGGCCAAACTCTCCGGACTGAAAGGTAAAGGAATACTGCAGACTGCTGTTAGGAACAGGCGAGTTTCATTGTTGACAAAAGCGCGCGTTGCATGCTGGGAATTATTTTGGTCGGCGGCAAGAAACACTAATTCAACATGACGGACGGAGCGAGAAAACACGTAAAGGGTATTGATCCTGGTTATTTATCCACTCTAACGGCAGAGGACCCAAGACCATTTGACCAGAAATTGGTCATAAGCATCGACGGACGACAAATCACCCTTTTCAACCCCGACAAAAGGTGGACCAAACCAAATTTCTGGTCAGAATCTCCAACTACCTGGACAAATATTCACTTGGGCGATATCCACAATGACTTGGTGGAAACTCCTGGACCATTCACAGCAGAAAAGATGAAAACCTCCAAGAGTCTCGATGTGTTGTTGAACTTGTTGGAGTCCACGGTTTGTTAGGATCTTCTACGTTTGCTCTGCGGATGTTTGAAAGTCCGTTTAATTCGCCGTTAGCGGTTCTTTTCACTCAGAATATGAAAAAGACATTTTCCTTCTTCCGTGTTTCTATTTGTGCATCCGAATAATGCAGCAGGAATTTACCATTATTGGGGAGAAATACGCGAGGTTACGCACTGTGTTTTGACGCTACCGTGTTTCTTGCCTCCGACCAAAATATTTCCCAGCAGCAACGCGGGCTTTTAATAACAATGACGTCAGCTGAAACTCACCTATACAAAGAGACTGTGGCTCGTCTAGAAACCGTCAAAGAACAACATGAACTGAAACTCTAGACCAGGAGTCTCCAACCTGTAGCTCTGGAGTTACCAGTAGCTCTTCGTCCACTTCCGAGCAGCTCGCTAAGGGATTTCTGAATAATACATATTGTGCTAAATGACTAAACTTTGATTGTAATTTAATTTTAATTAAATGTCAATTACCGTTGTAATTGGATCATTCTAATGCTAAATAGATAATAGTTGTGTAAATGTTTTAGGCATGAACCTAATGCCACCCCACCTAAGGCTTTTATATTTACTCCATTTCCTTCGACCGCTAAAATTAGTAGCTGTCTGGCATTTTCCTTTCGTTAAGGTAGTTCCGGGTACACAGGCTGGTGCCGTCTAGTGTGGACGTTAGTGTTATAACTTTTTTACAGCCTCTATACCCTGTATCATATTTTGATGAACTTTTGCTAGTAGTAGTTTGAAAAAACTCCCCCCGGACTCAAAATGAAGTTTTGGTAAAGCAACAACCAGAATAAAACTGTTGGAAGGTTCATATCTGTTCAATCATCAAATAACCAAAGGCAATTTTCTCTTTAATCACACAGAAACAAAACTCATAATCAGGGTAAAGATCATATAAAATAGGAAACTAAAAGTCCAAAAATGATGATTGTCAGTGTTGAATCGAATGGTTTATAAAGTGAAAGCAAGAATAGAAACTAAACTCCAGTATATTATGATGTAGTACTACTTATTATTGATCCATTTTCAGTCAAATTGACTTGTCAAGGCCCTTGTGAGAACTTAGCACAGTTTCACATTTCATATCATCAGCTGTAGTGTGTATTTAATATGTTTTGTTTTTGTTTTGGGGGGACTTTTGTAAAAGAGTGTTGAAAATGGAGTTTGGGTTCTTCAATTATACCAAAAAGTTCATCCAATCATGATGCAAGACTTTGATTTTGGAAAAAAAGGTCAAAAAGTTATAACCCTAGTGGACGTATAACAGAACTGTATGACCCAGACTCAGTGTGTAGTAGAAAACACTACAGCCATCCACAACACTACATCAAAACATAATTCCTGGCACATATTTGTTTATCTTTACTAAATTCGGCACAAATTTGGCGGCAAATGTAAAGACGTCATATAATTATTTAAATAAAAAGATAAATACTTCATATAAATATCATTGTATATTGAAAAAAAATCACCAAAACACAAGATGCAGAAGTGTTATTTGCCAAAAAGTTATTTTGATAATAAATAAATAAAAAACTGTTGATAATAGTTTCATAGGGCAAGTTCAGGTGGTGGGGGCAGAGGGGCAGAGGGGCTGGGGGCCAGTCAAAGGGTTGTGGCGGGCCGGAGTTGGCCCACGGGCCTTAGTTTGATGATCCCTGGTGTAGAAGGTAACATTATAATAGTGTAACTGTGATGTCTGGCCCCGCCTTCCGCAGAGGTCATGTGACAGTCTGGCCCCGCCCCCTACACAGAGGTGATGTGACAGTCTGGCCCCGCCCACTTCAGAGGTCATGTGACAGTCTGGCCCCGCCCCCTGCAGAGGTCATGTGACAGTCTGGCCCCGCCCACTTCAGAGGTCATGTGACAGTCTGGCCCCACCCCCTGCACAGAGGTCATGTGACAGTCTGGCCCCGCCCCCTGCAGAGGTCATGTGACAGTCTGGCCCCGCCCCCTGCAGAGGTCATGTGACAGTTACCTGGCTTGGTCTTAAAGCTGTACGTTAGGCTGGAGATGCTGTTGAGTTCATGGGAGTAAACCCGCAGGTGGTACATGGCACCTGCCGCCAGGTCCGCCACCGTGACAGGGGGCTGTTTCACCTTGACATTTTTCACAGTCTTGTCGCCTTGGAAACACAAAAGAGGGCCAATGACATCCGAGGGGCGTGGCCTCGGTTCCACAACAACAGAGAGCGTGCAGCACAGGCCTATGGCTCCTCACAGAGGACGGGAGAGGAACTGCAGTGCTGTTCACATTCAACACACTGAGGCTTTATGGAGAAGAAGTGTGTACACGACCAGGCAAAAGTCTGGACTCACACTCTCTGTGTTTTTATTTTTTCTGTATGTTTAATCATTTAAAAATTGTGGTAAGAAAAAAGAAAAAAATAACGAAGAATGAGAGAATGTCCAGACTTTTGACTAGTGTAATTTTGTAGGTATAGTTTAAAAATAGTTCAATGTTATTATAGTGTAAATGAGTGTGTAGTGTAACATTGTACTAGTGTAAGGTTATAAAAGTGTAACGTTATAATAGTGTAACGTTAAAATAGTATAATGTTATAACAGTGTAACATTACAATAGTGTAATGTTACAATCGTGTAACTGAGTATGTAATGTAACATCATAACAGTGTAACATGACAATAGTGTAACACATTTATAGTGTAATGTTATAATAGTGTAACGTTTTAATAGTATAATGTTAAATTTTTAACGTTATAATAGTGTAATGTTACACTATTTTAACGTTACACTATTATAACATTACACTATTGTAACGCTATAATGGCGTAACGTTAAAATAGTGTAACATAATAATAGTGACAAGTTACAATAGTGTAACATTAAAATAGTGTAACCGGGTGTAAAGTGTAACGTTATAATAGTGTAACATTAATAATAAATAATAGTGCAACTGAGAGTATAATAGTATAATGTTACAATAGTGTAACAATATGATAGTGTAACTGAGTATGTATTGTAACATTATAATAGTGTAATGTTTTAATAGTATAACGTTAACTTTTTACGTTATAATAGTGTAATGTTACACTATTTTAACGTTACACCACTATAGCGTTACATTATTGTAACGTTACACTATTGTAATGTTATAATGGTGTAACGTTAAAATAGTGTAACATAATAATAGTGTAACGTTATAAGTGTAACATTAATAATAAATAATAGTGCAACTGAGAGTATAATAATATAATGTTACAATAGTGTAACATTATAATAGTGTAACTACATATGTATTGTAACATTATAATAGTGTAATGTTATAATAGTGTAATTGCTAAATAAAATGTAATAAACCTGCTCAGATGTGGTTTTGAATGCAGCACAGCACTGGTCCTTCCTCTGCTCATCAGGACCGTTCTTTTGTCCACAAATAAAAACAAACACACTCAGTCATGAACTGCGAGCATGACTGTCCAGCTCTGTGGAGACACGTGCCCCATGCCAACGTCCACCATTCCAAAGCCATGCACCTTCAGCTCAACTCCGGCGTGACAAAACCGCGAGTCCCGTGAGTGAAGTCCACACAGGCGACACAGGGAGGAACCATAGAATAAAACAAAAGCCAGTCCTACGGTGTACTTCACATTCACCAACCACAGCCGGGACAGAGCAGTGAAACGGCACCAGGGCGGATGACAAAAGCGATGCAGTGAAGCGGCAACCGACAGCGCCCTCTGCAGGACTGCTGAAGCACAAAGGTAACACTTGCTCATGGATGAAGCGAAAATCAAAAAAATAAATGAAGTAAATGCCAAAGAAAAGCAGTGCAGAGTGAGCTCAAGCAGAAGAGTTAGTAAGAAACGCACATCCACCCCCTGACAGTAAAATCTCTCTATCTTTCTATCTATTTATCTGTTGCTCTATCATTACATCTTTCATAGTTTGTGTGTTATTTAAGTCGTGGTCTTGACAATAGATGCATCACGAATTTCGGACTTCCGGTCATCGCGCAATTCATACTGGGGAAGGATTTTCCGAAAAAGTGAGCGTCAAACCTCCATGTTTGTTTTCCCAGTGGGATGTGTCTATTGTCAAAGTCGATCTTTTCAGGTCTTTTGAACCATATCACTTTTGTTTCTGGTTCTGATATTGTCATATTTTAGGTTTGGGATTCGGACGTCGTAATTGTGTGGTTGTTGGATCCTAACAGCGGAAAACGGGCTTCGGAAGTTTGTGAACTCCATAAATGCAAAAGTGAATCAGATGTGTGTGACTCAAACCTCCGTTCAAACTGTTTCTCTTCCCAACGGAATTGAAAAATAGTGAAAGGTGAAGGCGATGGGCAGGATTGATCCACAGGAAGAACCAAAAAGGAAACATTTGACTGAGTTTGCAGAGAACATTTTGTATGTGGAGCGACGACAAAACAAAATCCCGTTTGTTAAGTGAGAGGAGCAGAAGACAAACAGACTGAGCTGCACTTTCTTGTTCTTGTGGTTTTACAGCAACATCACGTCTTGGTCTCTTTGCAGTGGAAGGTGTTTCTTGGTGAACAGTTGGAGCCTTTCACTTTGGTGTTGACTTCTTAAATTCGTAACCGAGGTTGAGCGAGAGATCGAGAGTTTGTTTTGTCGTCGCTCCACATACAAAATGTTCTCTGTAAACTCGGGATGATTTCTTAGTCAGACAAATGTTTCCTTTTTGGTTCTTCCTGTGGATCAATCCTGCCCATCACCTTCACCTTTCACTATTTTTCAATTCCGTTGGGAAGAGAAACAGTTTGAACAGAGGTTTGAGTCACACACATCTGATTCACTTTTGCATTTATGGAGTTCACAAACTTCTGAAGCCTGTTTCTCGAGCCGTTTTCCGCTGTTTGGATCCAACAACCACACAATTACTATGTCCGAATCCCAAAACTAAAATATGACAATATCAGAACCAGAAACAAAAGTGATATGGTTCAAAAGACTTGAAAAGATCGACTTTGACAATAGACACATCCCACTGGGAAAACAAACATGGAGGTTTGATGCTCACTTTTTCAGAGGATCCTTCCCAGTATGAATTGCACGATGACTAGAAGTCTGAAATTCGTGATGCATGTATCAAGTGAGCACCATTAGTAACTCTTCAGCTCATTCTTACCAAAAATACATGTGTTTCATCTCCACAGTTACCGCATCTAAGCACTGAAACTGTAATAAACCTTCACTTCCTAAACCCCCTGCTCCTGGGTGTTTTGTGAAAAGGCTGCAGGCAGGCGTGTCGGTGTTAGTGGGAATACAGCGCCCTCCGGTGGCAGGCTGCTCTGAGTCTTACTGTCCAGTGTGAACTCTAGCACAAACTCGTTCCTGCCGGCCGGGATGTTGTGTCTCCAGCTGACATTAGCGTAGTTACTGTTAGGCTCCACCGTGAGGTTCCAGATCTCCCAGCCCGACGCCACTGCAGGGTCACAGAGCCAGCATTACCACTAGCACGGCAGGTCACAGTCAGCAGTCCTAAAGTCCTAAAGGTGTAACACTAAACTATAACTGTGTACCACTAACATGTACTGTAACTGTGTACCACTAATATTATACTGTAACTGTGTACTTCTAACATGTACTGTAACTGTGTACCTCTAACATGTACTGTACTGTGTACCTCTAACATGTACTGTAACTGTGTACCACTAACATGTACTGTAACTGTGTACCACTAACATGTACTGTAACTGTGTACCACTAATATTATACTGTAACTGTGTACTTCTAACATGTACTGTAACTGTGTACCTCTAACATGTACTGTAACTGTGTACCACTAACATACTGTAAACTGTGTACTAATACTTATACTGTAACTGTGTACCTAACATGTACTGTAACTGTGTACCTCTAATATGTACTGTAACTGTGTACTTCTAACATGTACTGTAACTGTGTACCTCTAATATTATACTGTAACTGTGTACTTCTAAATGTACTGTAACTGTGTACTTCTAATATAACTGTAACTGTGTACTTCTAACATGTACTGTAACTGTGTACTTCTAACATGTACTGTAACTGTGTACTTCTAACATGTACTGTAACTGTGTACCACTAACATGTACTGTAACTGTGTACTTCTAACATGTACTGTAACTGTGTACCACTAATATTATACTGTAACTGTGTACTTCTAACATGTACTGTAACTGTGTACCTCTAACATGTACTGTAACTGTGTACCACTAACATGTAACTGTAACTGTGTACCACTAATATGTACTGTAACTGTGTACTTCTAAACATGTACTGTAACTGTGTACTAATATTATACTGTAACTGTGTACTTCTAACATGTACTGTAACTGTGTACCTCTAATATTATACTGTAACTGTGTACTTCTAACATGTACTGTAACTGTGTACCACTAATATTATACTGTAACTGTGTACTTCTAACATGTACTGTATGTACTGTAACTGTGTACCTAACTGTACTGTAACTGTGTATTACTAACTGTAACTGTGTACTGTCTAACATGTACTGTACTGTGTACCACTAATATTATACTGTAACTGTGTACTTCTAACATGTACTGTAACTGTGTACCACTAACATGTACTGTAACTGTGTACCACTAACATGTACTGTAACTGTGTACCACTAATATTATACTGTAACTGTGTACCTCTAACATGTACTGTAACTGTGTACCACTAACATGTACTGTAACTGTGTACCACTAATATTATACTGTAACTGTGTACCACTAACATGTACTGTAACTGTGTACCACTAATATTATACTGTAACTGTGTACCACTAACATGTACTGTAACTGTGTACCACTAACATGTACTGTAACTGTGTACTTCTAACATGTACTGTAACTGTGTACCACTAACATGTACTGTAACTGTGTACCACTAATATTATACTGTAACTGTGTACCTCTAACATGTACTGTAACTGTGTACCACTAACATGTACTGTACTGTGTACCACTAAACATGTACTGTAACTGTGTACTTCTAACATGTACTGTAACTGTAACTACTTAACTGTGTACCACTAACATGTACTGTAACTGTGTACCACTAACATGTACTGTAACTGTGTACCACTAACATGTACTGTAACTGTGTACTTCTAACATGTACTGTAACTGTGTACCACTAAACTATAACTGTGTACCACTAACATGTACTGTAACTGTGTACCACTAACATGTACTGTAACTGTGTACTTCTAACATGTACTGTAACTGTGTACCACTAACATGTACTGTAACTGTGTACCACTAATATTATACTGTAACTGTGTACTTCTAACATGTACTGTAACTGTGTACCACTAACATGTACTGTAACTGTGTACCACTAACATGTACTGTAACTGTGTACTTCTAACATGTACTGTAACTGTGTACCACTAACATGTACTGTAACTGTGTACTTCTAACATGTACTGTAACTGTGTACTTCTAACATGTACTGTAACTGTGTACCACTAACATGTACTGTAACTGTGTACTTCTAACATGTACTGTAACTGTGTACCACTAACATGTACTGTAACTGTGTACCTCTAACATGTACTGTAACTGTGTACTTCTAACATGTACTGTAACTGTGTACCTCTAACATGTACTGTAACTGTGTACCTCTAACATGTACTGTAACTGTGTACTTCTAACATGTACTGTAACTGTGTACCACTAACATGTACTGTAACTGTGTACCTCTAACATGTACTGTAACTGTGTACTTCTAACATGTACTGTAACTGTGTACTTCTAACATGTACTGTAACTGTGTACTTCTAACATGTACTGTAACTGTGTACCTCTAACATGTACTGTAACTGTGTACTTCTAACATGTACTGTAACTGTGTACTTCTAACATGTACTGTAACTGTGTACCTCTAACATGTACTGTAACTGTGTACCTCTAATATTATACTGTAACTGTGTACTTCTAACATGTACTGTAAGAATGTACCACTGACTAGAGTGATTTGATTTTCAAATGTAAAACTGGGACATCCCCGTTTGTGGTGGTTGGTAATAATAAAATTGTGATTTTGTAATTAAGAAAAACTGTTCTGCACTCGGCTCATTTATGACTAACGTGAGTCAGTACAGTCGTATTTTCTTTGTGTTTTGGTCGTTTTAAAGCAGCTTTTCTGTGTTTTACCTAAACAAATGACAATTTATGTCTCTCGTTACCGTCGGCAGGGATCAGATTGGTCTAAAATAGGGACACCTCTTGTATAATTTCTTGTATAAAACTGGGACAAGTCAGTGGTTTTGGATAAATCTGCTGGGACAGAGACACAGGCTCAAAACTGGGACTGACCCAGGTCAAAAGGTACATCTGGTCACACTGCCACAAACATATAAGAGTGTTAGGGTGTATCACTACTATATAAGGCTATATAAGTGTGTACCAGTACTATGTAAGTGTGTACCTCTACTATATAACGGTGTACCACTACTACATACTGTAAGAGTGCACCACTGTGTAAGAACGTAGCATCATCAGTAGGTGTGCTGCTGTCACACAGTGTGCCAGTGCTCTCCTCGTGTGTGAGTATGTGAGTGTCCAGCAGCAGCAGCAGGAGGAGCAGTGCTCGTCTGTGCGGTCGGACTCAACAGGAGACGTTTTATTGTCATTTGTTGGGTAATAAAACATGTTAATCCAGAATGTGGCATGTACCCTATTTTTCGGACTGTGTTACTTTTTTTCATGGTTTGGGTGTTTCCTGTGACTTCTATATTAAAATGTTGAGAGTGAAGCGTGGAGAGTGTGTGTGTGTGTGTGTGTGTGTGTATGTGTGTATGTGTGTGTGTATATATAATATAATAATATACTGTATACACATTTAAAGTCTCTAGTCTAATCTGCACAAACTTGAAGCTGAGAGCTCGAGGTAAGAGGAAGTATTCAAACAAATGTCCTCCACTGCACCAAGAGGACACAGCTGAGTACTGAGGACACTGTGTCCACTGTCCTCTGAGTCCAGTGGACACAGCTCTGTCCTCTGAGTCCACTGTCCTCTAAGCCCAGTGTCCTCTGAGTCCACTGGAGGAAGTATTCAAACAAATGTCCTCCACTGCACCAAGAGGACACAGCTGAGTACTGAGGACACTGTGTCCACTGTCCTCTGAGTCCAGTGGACACAGCTCTGTCCTCTGAGTCCAGTGGACACAGCTCTGTCCTCTGAGTCCACTGTCCTCTGAGTCCAGTGGACACAGCTCTGTCCTCTGAGTCCAGTGTCCTCTGAGTCCACTGGACACAGTTTTGTCCTCTGAGTCCAGTGGACACAGCTCTGTCCTCTGAGTCCAGTGGACACAGCTCTGTCCTCTGAGTCCAGTGGACACAGCTCTGTCCTCTGTGGTCCAGCGTTAAGACAAAACAGCCCCGGTGGGACGACAGATGTACCCAGCACGTTCACATCGGTGTGTCTGGTCACCGTCGCCGTGGTGCTACGAGCCGTGGTAGTGGACAGCGTGGTCGTTGTAGTAGTCGCAGCAGCTGTGGCAGTCGTAGTAGTAATAGTAGTAGTAGTCGTTGTAGTAGTAGTAGTCGTCGGAGCAGTAGTTGGAGAAGCGGTGGGAGTAAAGGCGGTCGGAGGAGGGGGAGGAGGAGAGGGAGTGAAGGCCGAAGACAAGGACCCGTCCGTCTGCTCCACTGAAGATCAGAGTCACAGAGACAGTTAGGACACAACATGAGGAAAGACACACACATGTACGCGCGCACACACACACACACACAGACACACACACACACACACACACACACACACACACACACACAGACACACACACACACACACACACACACACACACACACACACACACACACACACACACACGCGCACACACACACACACACACACGTTTTACACTAAAGCCTCAAACATGCAGGGAAACAGCAGTGAGACGACAAACACGATCAAAGCTTAAACGCCGGGCTTCAGTCCGAGCCAAAAGCAAAAGCCGCACACACACACACACACACACACGCAGCAGCGCCCCCTGGTGAGCGAGTATGGGAGCGTGAACAGCAGGCAGGTTCACGGGGAGCGACTGTGGAGCATGGAGGCGGCTCTAGCGTCAGTCCCGTGTCCACAGCGGGGACGAGGACGAGGACGGGACTGGGACTGGGCCGAAGATGCAGACGCTTCATACTGTGAGGGATTTTTAAACTGTTTGACTTGTATTAACTAAAGTATTTCGATGAGGAGTTTTCTCGAGACAAAATCCCCGACAATATACAAACTTTACAAACTATTTATGAAGTAATGAAATCAGAAAAGTACAAAAAAAAAAATACATGATGTCCTGTGGTTCGGTCAGAGGTGGGAAGACTTATTCAAAATAATAAGTAGTTGTCCAAGAAACGACTCAAGTAAAAGTAAAATAAAGTATTTGGCAAAAGCACAACTTATTTATAATTTGAAGTTTGTGTTATTGAAAGGATAAAAACTTTAAATAATGAACCAAATATATTTTTTAAACAGAAAAAAAATATCTGAATGAGCGGCAAGAAACACAAATGTTCAAATCATTTCAGATTATTTCAGACTTTAGACTCTCTCACAGTACTCAGCTAAGAGTACTGTTACTTCAATACAAATATGACTCAAGTAGGAGTAAAAGTACAGTATGTTGCTGGAAAAGTACTCGGAAAAAGTACAAATCCTTTAAAAAATTGACTCCTGAGTACTCCCCACCTCTGGGCTGAGTCCATCAAACCAAAGGGTCAGTTGCATTTTTGTGCCAAGACGAGTGAGGCCCAGGTGGGTGAAGGGGTGAAGTGGGTGAGGCCCTTATGAGTGAGGCCTACGTGGGTGAGGACCAGGTGGGTGATAGGTGAAGTGGGTGAGGACCAGGTGTAGTGAGGACCAGGTGTAGTGAGGACCAGGTGTAGTGAGGACCAGGTGTAGTGAGGACCAGGTGTAGTGAGGACCAGGTGTAGTGAGGACCAGGTGTAGTGAGGACCAGGTGTAGTGAGGACCAGGTGGGTGAGGGCCATGTGGGTGAGGACCAGGTGGGTGAGGTCTAGGTGTAGTGAGGACCAGGTGTAGTGAGGACCAGGTGTAGTAAGGACCATGTGGGTGAGGACCAGGTGTAGTGAGGACCAGGTGTAGTGAGGACCAGGTGGGTGAGGTCTAGGTGGGTGAGGACCAGGTGTAGTGAGGACCAGGTGGGTGAGGTCTAGGTGTAGTGAGGACCAGGTGTAGTGAGGACCAGGTGGGTGAGGTCTAGGTGTAGTGAGGACCAGGTGTAGTGGGGACAAGGTGTAGTGAGGATCAGGTGTAGTGAGGACCAGGTGTAGTGGGGACCAGGTGTAGTGAGGTCTAGGTGGGTGAGGTCTAGGTGAGGACCAGGTGTAGTGAGGACCAGGTGGGTGAGGTCCAGGTGTAGTGAGGACCAGGTGGGTGAGTGGTGAGGAGACCAGGTGTAGTGAGGACCAGGTGTAGTGAGGACAGGTGTAGTGAGGACCAGGTGTAGTGGGGACAAGGTGTAGTGAGGATCAGGTGTAGTGAGGACCAGGTGTAGTGGGGACCAGGTGTAGTGAGGTCTAGGTGAGTGAGGTCTAGGTGGGTTAAGGGGTGATGCTGGTGAAGGGTGAAGTGAGTGAGGCCCAGGTGTAATGAGGACAATGTGGGTGAGGACCAGGTGTAGTGAGGACCAGGTGTAGTGAGGACCAGGTGGAGTGAGGACCAGGTGGGTGATAGGTGAAGTGGGTGAGGCTCAGGTGTTTGAGGTCTAGGTGGGTGAGAGGTGAAGGGGCTGAGGTCCATGTGGGTGAGGGGGTGAAGTGGGTGAGGACCGGGAGGGCGAGGGCCAGGTGGGCGAGGGCCAGGTGAGGTTGGTCCAGGTGGGTGAGGGGGTGAAGTGGGTGAGGACCGGGAGGGCGAGGGCCAGGTGGGCGAGGGTCATGTGGGTGAGGCCCAAGTGCAGTGAGTGGGTGAAGTGGTAAAAGACGCACATTCCAAAACACATTCTCGCTTTGTCCAAAAATGAAAAACTAGAAACACATCAAACAGGATCTGAGCAGCTCCCAGATTTGCTCAGTTTTTTCTCCACACACCACAAGGCACAGAACCCCAAACCCGACGCACAGTCCGGGCTTAAACCGTTTTGTGAAGGACAATATTCTATAGGCCCCAGATTACGCAAAACTGTCTGTTGTAATGTCGTTCCCTCCTCAAAAACAGACCTGGAGTTGTGTTTTTTAAAGGATAGACCGATATATCTGGACCGATATTTGGAGTTTTTAGCATATGGGATATCGGCGTTAAACCTCCAGAGTACGAGATGGGTGCTGCATTTCTTTAAAATGGGCAGCGGCAGGGTTTCTAGTTTCTGCAGAAGGTTTATAAGGGAGAGGACCACGACCTGATGAAGATCCACTGATCCAAACGTCGTCATTCATTAAAAGGAGTTTGGGAGTAAATGTGCAGATAAATAAATCTGCAGGTTTGTGTGTTTAATGTGTGCGAATGAAACAAACTCAACTCCAGGTCTGTTTGTGATGAGGAAACGACATTAGAACACAAATCTGAAAACTCTGTAATACTGTACACAGTGTCCCCAAAAATTCACATTTCACAGGTCGATTATTTTGGTAATTCTTGTTGAAATAACCTAAAATTTTCACAGAATGTAAAGAAACAGATCAAGATTTAATATTTAATGTTCTGTTTTCAGGTTGAGCCGTTCTCTCCCAAACAGAAGTCATTTTGTGTCTTGGATTCTGCTCACACACACTCACCCAAGACTGTGCAGCTTCAGTGCAACATTTGGAAAAACTTCACAAACTGGCAAACACATTTGGACTTGGTACCAAAAATGTAGGCTGCGTTTACAAAGAGCCGGGTTTGTTGAGAAACGAATATTTCCCTCCCTCTGTTTTCCAAAATAACATTGTGCAGCATCGCTTTCAAAAAAGTTTGTCAAACTCATTTTGTTCCGGGGGTCGTATCCAACCGACTTTGATCCCAAAGTGTCCGGATGAGAAAACTCATGTCATATAAACCCCAAAAATAACAATAAGTTCAAATATTTGTGCAGAGAAACACAAATCTATTACAGAAATTGTTTATAATTGATGAACTCTTTCTTTTACAAAATATTATAATATTCTGAACAACCTGAAAATTTAAGAAAAATGTAATTTCAACACAATGTTGAACTTGTATGTAAACAGGAATAAGTCAATTTTTGTTGTAAAATCCTGCACTCGGCTCCACTTTTCTCATGTTGGACATTTTTCTGATGAGGGTGTCACGGTCAACAGTCAAAACGATCGTCCTTTAAGAGCGTTTGGAAAGAGACAAGTCTTCATTTGTGCTGCTCTGGTGGGAGGGGCCACGTACAGAGACGCTGGAGACGCTGCTGTGATAAACACCACAGAAAATTAACACCATTTTAATAGAAAATATCATTAAAATATTTTAGTAGAAAATCAGCCAAGGACCAGATTAAAGGTTGTGGAGGGCCGGATCTGGCCCCCAGGCCGTATGTTTGACACCCCTGGTTTACATCGACCCGCATAAATACGTCTTGATTTGTTTTGTTTTTTTACATTCTGTGAAAATTTTAGGTTATTTCAACAAGAATTGCCAAAACAACTGGCCTGTGAAATGATGTCAAAGTTTTTGGGACGACCTGTACAACCTAAAAACCCTCAGATCGACGTGTGGTTTTGTTCGTTTTGTTCTACTGCCCCCTTGTGGTGTGATTCAAATCTGGCAGCGGCTTGTGTCTCGCGGATCCTTTTGATTTTTTTTTTGCATTTCTGAGGCGCGAGCGTCAGCGTGAGGAGGAGCGTGAGTCATACCTAGACCCGTGTCATTTGTGAAATCCTCTGCCGAGACAAAACACACGTCAAACATCATCAGCTGTGGCGCCCCCTACTGGCAACAAACTCAACTCTCTTGAAAACAAACACCAAAAAAAAAAAAAACAACCCAAAACAAACAGTGACGCTTGAAATGTGCACTGAGTAACATTTTTAGTGGATCGTCCGTCACCTGATGTCTCCACGGTAACGTTATTGCTTTGTCTAGAATGTTCCGCAGTTTCTTTCATGAGGGAGACGAGCAGGTTACAGCTCTGCGCTACATTACAGGTCAGATCTGTGGAGAATTATTGTATTTTTGAGCGAAAGAAACACGAATAATGAATAAATGCTCGATGTAAATGTTTAAAGTCATACCAAGGAACATTCTGGACAAAAAAAAACATCTCCATGGAGACATAAAAACAAGAAAAGTGCTCAAATCTGCCAAAACGCAGCTCAGTTTTCATCAGTATATTAACCAGAACATTGTTTTTACATTTATTTGTTATATCAGAGTTTAAGATTTTTTTGTGCTTTTGTCACATTTCTAACTCATGGATCTATAATACAAACTAGATAAGCCCCTCCCCCTCTTTCCAGACTAGTGGCCGCTCCAGGTACTGCAGCTCAAAAATTCTCCCGTAGAATCAAAATACATTTTTTGGGGGGAATTCAACCTGCCCGTGTTCTGACAGAGCATCTGACTTTCACCAAAGGCCGGATTTTGTAGGATTCATTTCTATTTTCACAACATAAACTTTTGCATTTTTTAAATCCTCAAAGCGTCTAATGGTTAGTTTTGTAATACCGGGCGTACACTGTGTGATATTTTCCATCATTTCACTCAAACTGTACGACCAAATCACAGCGTTTAAAAGTTTAGGATTCATGACCCATCCTCACGAGAGGCGACTGGATTCAAACAGGTTTCATTTTCTTGCGACCTACGACTGCCGATCGGGAGCTGTGGTCGTGAGGGATTTAGTCCGGTTCCTTATATTGATTTTTTAAGCTTTGTAGGAATTTTTTGTGGATTTGCTAAACTATAGATTTTTGGAAAGGTTATAGTACATGGAGTCAGAAAATCAATGTTTGCATTTGCCCACATGTCGATATGGCGGCCATATTGAATTTTTTAAAAAATTGCTGCCAAAAATCTCTTTTTGAAATATTTCAGCCTCTGAATAAGTTGAACTGTTGATTTTAACTGCTAAACCCACATTTTCAGGGTCAGGAAATCAAATGGTGCTAGTTACAAAGCTGTAAGACCTACCCACATTAACCCTTAGATGCATAAGCAGGTCAAAAATGACCCGGTTTGGTTGTTTTCTTGCAATTTCATTGTAATATTCACATGTAACTCCATGTTCCTCCAAAAATATGTTTTTGTAAATTATCCTGTTGAAATACATCAACAATGTGGGTAGAATAAACTATAAACATCACATGCAGTTGGTCAGAAAACTCAGAGTTTAAAAGTAGCTCACATAAAATTTGGATGTTTAATGTCAACACGCACATTTAGACACAATATGATTACGTAACTTTGTTTATTTAACAGATCGGTTCTCTCGGCCCATAAACAGTTACCAGGCCAGCGCCACCTAGTGCCTCCGCCCAGTTTAATTTCTCTCCAGCTCTAGTTCAGGAATCAGAAAACACTAAACCCCAGAAGTTGTAGACCGCACACCGGCCAATCAGCTGTGAGCTGTGAAGCCAGGACGTCAAACTAAATAAATTGGCATTTTCGCTTTGTGAATTTTTTTCCACTGCAAATTTTACACTTTTACTGAATTTTAACTGTTGAATTTGAGGGCTTAAAAAAATATCTGTGCTGAATATTTAAAAAGTGATTTTTTTTATACAGAATTTTAAACACTAACCCTAAAATTCAGAACTCTTACACTTAAAAAATTCAAAGTGAGAAATTCAACTGTATTTATAATTCAAAATCTCATGGAACAAATTAACTTCCACAGTGACAATTTTTCAGCGTCAATTGGAACGAGAGTCGATGGAGCCGGAAGTTCCCCCGCGCTCACTTCCTGTTCAGAGCGCGGCGTTAGAGCGTTAGTGTGTGTGTGAGTGTCGTACCTTCGTTGGTGAACAGAGGCGCCTCTTCTGCGATCACCTCTCCGGACCCGACCTGCGTTCGCGCCGACAGGAACAGTTTGTATCGAGTTCCGCGCTCCGGGAGTCTCAGCACGAACTCTGTGACGTTTGGCGGAAAAGTCTCCACCAGGGGGCGCCCGCCACGAGACCCGTTCACTGAAAACACAACAAAAAGAGTCAGGGAGTTTTGGAAATGTAAAAGAAATATTAATATACAGTGATATATTTTTATCGATATATATTTTTATTGTAGACTTAAAGGTTGGATAGTAGAAACGCCTCCACCTGCCTCCTCCTTACTCTAGAAATTCCGCTCATTTACAGCCGATCCGTGTTCAGAATCGCTGAATGAATCGCTGCTGAAGTTTCGTGTCCAGAAGTAATTTAGCGACCAACACGTCAGACCCTTTTAGACACTTCGTCTGCTTTAGTCACTCCATCTCTGGAAGGAATCTCCAAGAATCACCTCAGTTTGACTTCGCTCCTTTTCCCCTTCTCTTCTTCTTTCAGCGACCTCAAAAACAGACTTTCTTTTGCGGCGATCTGGCCGTGGATTCTCGTCTGCTGTTGCGACAAACTTTGTGCAAACTTGCGAGGAAGCTACAGTTCGAAAAAGCCGCTCAGAACCTTTCCGTTGGTCGAGTAAACGGCGTCTTGCGTCTGTAGGATGCGTGAGAGGTGAACGAAACCCACGTAATCTCAGTGCGACGCCGAGTCAGTTATGCCAGAAACAAGTTTGATTGACGATTTAAGAGCCAGTAGATAATGAGGCAGACTCGTTTTTGATCGGCTGATGTTTGTCTGGCCCCACCATGTTCACAGATGATGAATTTTCTTTTCTTTTTTTTTCTTTTTTGGGTCATCATAATTACAAAGCTGCAGCAGGGAGGACCAGACTTCTCTCTCCACAGACACTTCCTCCAGCTCTTCCGGGGAATCCTGAGGTGTTCAGCTCAGAGACATAGACCCTCCAGCGTGTCCTGGATCTTCCCTGGGGCCTCCTCCCGGTGGGACATAAACACCTCCTGAAGTTGGCGTCCTCCCTTCAGCTGCTCCTCTCCACGTGGAGGAGCAGCGGCTCTACTCCAAGCTCCTCACTCTATCTCTAAAGGAGCGCCCAGACGCCCTGTGGAGGAAACTCATTTGTGCCGCTTGTATCGTCGATCTCGTCCTTTCAGTCATTACTCAGAGCTCATGACCAGAGGTGAGGGGAGGAAGGGAGATTAGGGTGACCTTATTTCCGTTTGTGAAAACCAGGACACCTCACCGGCGGCGGGGGTGGGGCCTTGACATTGAGCTACTCTCACTTTGCAAAGCTGTGCCTGTTTTGTACACTGTGCACATGGACTCCCACTTGAAGAAAGTGGGGAATTTCTTGTACAAGTCGTTGTTAAATGCACATTTGTGCTTCGGCGTGTTGCAGACTGATCGACTGTCTGTGTCTCGCTCCTTCTGAGTCAGAGACGCTACGAGAGACGCTCAGTTTAATGGACCAATGAGGAGAAAAATTCAGTTTGTCGACTGGACAAAAGTTAGTTTGGTTGAAGACGTTTCGCCGCTCATCCAAGCTGCTTCTTCAGTCCTGAAGACCAGTCCAGTCGACAAATTGAATTTTTCTCCTCATGGATTCTACCTGGATGACGAGGGATTCTTCACACATCTCGAGAATTAATGGACCAATGAAAGATCATGAAAACCTAGACATTTCCAGGACAGGCCAGGACAGGACGTGAAAAACAGACATGTCCGGGGAGAAAAACTGAGGTTTGGTCACCCTAATGTAGATTGACCGGTAAATTGAGAGCTTTGCCTTTGGGCTCAGCTCCTCTTCACCACAACGGTCCGATACAGCGACCGCATCACTGCAGACGCTGCACCTGTCCACCTGTCCACCTGTCCACCTGTCCACCTGTCAATCTCACGCTCCATCTTCCCCTCACTCGAGAACAAGACCCTGAGATACTTGAACTCCTCCACTTGAGGCATTATAGTTTTATGATTTTGGCTGTGAGGAAGATCTCCAAAAGAACTAAATACTTCTGTCCAAACTGCCCAAACCCCTTTTACAGATATTTTACTGATCCTGAAGGAAATTCTAACGTTTAAAATGACAGTACAGATGTAACAGAGAGCGTGTACCTGGTGTGTATTTGAGCTGGTAGCCGATCAGGATCCCGTTGGGCTCCAGAGGTTTGTCCCACTCCAGGTGCAGAGTGTCCAGACCTTTACGGTTTATCCGGAAGAATTTAGGAGCGTCCGGCACTGAGACACAAATATGACACACAAATATTAGACACAAACGCGAGACACAAACGGGCTGTGTCAATCATTAAGGCCAATTCATTAATTAAAGGGTTCATATGACACTATTTTCTGATCTGTGTTCTAATGTCGTCTCCTCATCACAGACAGACCTGGAGTTGTGTTTTGTTTCACTCAGACATGTTAAACACACAAACACACCTTTTCGCAAACTGAAAACACTCAGTTCCACCTTGTGATGTCATTGTGTGGTGATACAGGCAGCGCTCCACTGTGTTTTTAAACTCCACACACCTTCATTAGAATCATTTGGATCATTTCAGCCCTGGAATTGACCGAACTCGACCGAACTAAAGGGAAAAAGGAGGTGTTCATTTGAGGAGTAAGTAAATAAGTAAATAAGTTTCTTCTTCCCACTCCTTTTTGGGCAATTTTTTTTAAATTTTATATTATGTTGTTGTTATTACTGCTATGATTTCAGTAATGTTCTATTTTTTATTGTAAAAGAATATACATTTCTTACTAACCCAAAATAAAGACATGAATACATCCATTTAAAAATATGTTTTTATGAGGTTCATTCTAATAAACTCACAATAACAAATAACCCTATGTCCTGTCAATCATCATATCATTTTTGCACTTTTATCATTTTTTCTTGTATATAGCTGAGATTTTTTATATTTTATTAGTTATTTTTCTATTTTATTTTGATTTATACGTTTACATTTACATAATTACATCATATTTGACACCTGACTCTTGGTCTTTTTTGCTACTTATTTAGAATTTATCATTACTATTTATATATTTTCTCTTTGTTATGATATTATATTGTGATGTGTGAGCGTCTGGGTCCAAATAATTTCCCTTGTGGATCAATAAAGTTTGTCTAAGTCTAAGTCTGAGTAATAAAAGACCTTTAATAATGCACCGTGAAGCCCTGTGTGTGTCTGAAAAGCGGCGTATAAAGACAAAACAGTGTTACTGTAGACTGTGTGTTGAGCAGAGCGCCCCCTACCTCCCTCCTTGGTGCTGAAGAGGACCGTGTTGCTGGCGGGGCCCTCGTAGCGGCTGTTGGCGACCACCATGTACATGTGGTAGTGGGAGAACGGCGTCAGGTCGGTGAGGACCACAGACGGCTCCGGGGACATGCTGTAGAACCCTCTGGTCTGTTTCTCTTTACTGACGACCAGACCCGGCACCAGGCTGCTCTCCCTCCAGTAATACAACTACAAACACACACACACACACACACAAAGCCATCAAGTTTGGCAGCTGAACACATTCTGCACTGTACAGGAGACAGGAGTCCCTCAGCCGATCAGGACACAGAGGGAGGAACGCAATACGTGTTCATACACTAAAAACAAAAGGCATGCAAAATAAAAAATAAAAAATCAGCGGAACAGCGAGACCGCGAAAAGTGAACCGCGTTAGAGCGAGGGACGACTGTAAACCAGGTCTAAACCAGAAGTGACCCAGGTCTAAACCAGGTCTAAACAGGTCGTAAACAGCGTAGAGTTCTGGGTCGGTCCTTTCGCCCGCGGTTAACTGAAGGTCTGTCCGGCCGCGTCTCCGGCGTTTCACCGCTGCTGATTTCACAGTGATTTTAGCAAATTTCTATGAAGAAAAACCCACCACTTCAATCCAGGTTAAAAAAGCATTGTAACGCGCATTACTCACATTTGTACCGAGTAAAATATTAAAAATTTTTCCCATGTAATGCCGAACATTACTGCAAAAATCAACGCATTACTGTAATACATTACTTTTATAATGCGTTACTCCCAACACTGGCTGTGAATGGCCCAGGAGTTTCCACCAAGTCATTGTGGATATCGCCCAAGTGAATATTTGTCCAGGTAGTTGGCGATTCTGACCAGAAATTTGGTTTGGTCCACCTTTTGTCGGGGTTGAAAAGGGTGATTTGTCGTCCGTCGATGCTTTTTTGACCAATTTCTGGTCAAATGGTCTTGGGTCCTCTGCCGTTAGAGTGGATAAATAACCGGGATCAATACCCTTTACGTGCTTTCTCGCTCCGTCCGTCATGTTGAATTAGTGTTTCTTGCCGCCGACCAAAATAATTCCCAGCATGCAACGCGCGCTTTTGTCAACAATGAAACTCGCCTGTCGGAGTCTGTTCCTGGATGGAAATAAAGTTTGAAGGTTCAGTGTTGTGAGCTGAAGGTCTCACCCTGTACTCCTTGAACTGTCCGTGCACAGAGGACATGTCCACGGGCGTCCACTGCAGCCGGACTTTGGTGCTGTCCACATTAGAGACCTTCAGGTTGGTGGGGGGACTGTCTGGAACTGCAACAAACAACACAACACAACACAACAGGATTTACATTTCAACGACTGTATGAATGAAAACCTCATATTAAAGGTTCCACAGTGTGACATTAAACACTTTACTTTTATTCAGTTAATCCATTCAGTTCAATTACAGGTGGTTTAATAGCCCTAAAACTACTACTACTACTACTACTACTACTACTACTACTACTACTACTACTACTACTACTACTACTACTACTACTACTACTACTACTACTACTACTACTACTACTACTACTACTACTACTACTACTACTACTACTACTACTACTACTACTACTACTACTACTACTACTACTACTACTACTACTACTACTACTACTACTACTACTACTACTACTACTACTACTACTACTACTACTACTACTACTACTACTACTACTACTACTACTACTAACTACTACTACTACTACTACTACTACTACTACTACTACTACTACTACTACTACTACTACTACTACTACTACTACTACTACTACTACTACTACTACTACTACTACTACTACTACTACTACTACTACTACTACTACTACTACTACTACTACTACTACTACTACTACTACTACTACTACTACTACTACTACTACTACTACTACTACTACTACTACTACTACTACTACTACTACTACTACTACTACTACTACTACTACTACTACTACTACTACTACTACTACTACTACTACTACTACTACTACTACTACTACTACTACTACTACTACTACTACTACTACTACTACTACTACTACTACTACTACTACTACTACTACTACTACTACTACTACTACTACTACTAAAGCTACTACTACTACTACTACTACTACTACTACTACTACTACTACTACTACTACTACTACTACTACTACTACTAGTACTACTAACTACTACTACTACTACTACTACTACTACTACTACTACTACTACTACTACTACTACTAGTAGTAGTACTACCAAAACTACTACTTCTACTACTACTACTAAAACTTCTTGTACTAAAACTACTACTAAATAAAATAAATAAAGTATAAACTATTAACTGTTAAAACTGCTACTGTCAGAATCCCCTCGTACACTTAATTCACAAAAGATAAATTACTGTATATTAAAACGATAATCACAATAATTAAGACAAAAAAACAAACAAACAAAAAAACGCTGAAAAGAATCAAAGTGTCCGAGTACCGTCCTCTCCGGAGTAGCCCACCACCAGGTTGGACTCGGGCCCGGGTCCGAAGCTGTTCCGGGCCTGGATCTTGATGTCGTAGGCCTGGTAGGGCTGGGTCCCCGTCACCACGTATCTGGAGCCGGTGGTCGTCACGTTGGTCCAGTCGTCCCCCGAGTCGCTGAGTCTCCACCAAACGTTGTAGTGCAGGTCCGGACCGTTCCGCTCCAGGTCAGACAGAGGCTGGAACGTGAAGGAAAGAGACTGAGACGGGGACTGAGGCTGGGACTGGGACTGAAACTGAGACGGGGACTGGGACTCGGTAACACGTGTTTGTGTGTGGGACATGTCTCACCTCCCAGCTGATCTCCATGTTGTCTTTGCTGGTGCCCCACCCCCGCAGACCTTTGGGGATGGCGTCTGGAGCTACACACAACAACACAACAACACACACGGCTCAGATTTATCACAATAAACATGCTTCTGATGATAAAACAACGTACTAACATTTCACTTCTGTTTTTGGCTCCCTGATTGATTGATTGCATTTCTATAGCGCCTTTCAAGATCCCCAAAGTGCTTTACAGTTCATTATTCAGTCACTCCACACTCAGTGGTGGTAAACTACTATTGTAGCCACAGCTGCCCTGGGGCAGACTGACGGAAGTGAGGCTGCCAATCTGAGCCATCGGCCCCTCCGACCACCACCATCACTCACGCTCACACCACTTTCATACTAGGCAATGTGGGTGAAGTGTCTTGCCTAAGGACACGATTTTTTTTGCCACTGGAATTCCCAGTGTCTCCATCCAAGTCCTGCCCAGGCCCAGCCTGCTGAGCTTCTGAGATCTGACGGGATCAGGCTTTTACAAGCCGGTATGGCCCTGCACTAAGTCACTCCCCGTTCAGAGCTCTATCACAACACACTCAGTGTGCGTCTCACTAACCAAACTCCTGCACATCACATCAGGTTTGTCCAGTCGCTGTGAACAGTTTTGTTTCATGTTTTTGTTTATTTATGGTGAATTGTCATGCGAGAGCATGGGGGGGAAAGAGGCTTGTGGGCGGAGCCTCGTACAGACTCTGCTAACCATAAAGAGGGTTTGAATAGAGCCCAGGAGAGATCTCTAGATTAAGTAAGTAAGCTTAAGTTTATTATTCATATAGCACTTTTCATAGGCATTTGTCACAAAGACGTTTTACAAAACATTCTTCATTCACTCCAGACCTGGTGATGTTAAACTACTGTTGTAGCCACAGCTGCCCTGGGGCAGACTGACTGAAGCGCGGCTGCCAATCAGCGCCATCAGTCCCTCTGACTCTGACCACCACATCACACACACACACACACACACCACTTTGACACTTTCACATTAGGTAATGTTGCATGATCACTGAACCATGCATCTAAATGTTCTTCAAGCTGCAGGTTTTTGATGAGTGAACAACATTACAACATGATAGAAAATGGATTTTGTGTAATATTTTTTCAAAAATTATTCTCAAGTAGAAGTAAAAAGTCGTGGTTCAAGTAATTACTCAAATAAGAGTAACTTAAAGAGTTAACTTAAAGTAACTACTGCTTTAAAATCAGGAATCATGTTGTTTCATGTTGTCTGGTTTGTTTGTGAGTTTCTGCTCTTGACCACCAGAGGGCGCCGGGGCTCTGACAGCTTCAGATGAGATCTGTTCTTCAGGAAGTGAAGAATCCTACACTTCTGAGTAACTGTACAGAGTAACAGTACTTTTACTGCATTAAAACATAATACATTTTGCATTTTCACGATATTAATTTGAGCTCCCCCGTCTGTATTCATTAACATTGTTCTATAAAATGTTGTGACTTCATCTGAAACACAGTATTTCTTCCCGTTCCTAAAGACTCTGGATCCCGTTCGCCCCGGGCCTGTACCTGTCCCGCTGGTCTTGTAGCGCGGCGAGGGGCGGCTGGGCTCGCTGGGGCCCACGCCGTTGATGGCGACGACTCTGAAGTGGTAGTTGACGAACGGCGCGAGCTGCAGGATCACGGAGTTGTGGTCTCCAGGGTAAGAAGACAAGTTCCTCCACACACCCGGCTCGTAACGGTCCTCCTCGAACTGCACCAGGAACTCTGCACACACACACGGACACGGACACACACATACACACACACGAACGCGCACACGGACACACACACACGGACGCGCACACGGACACACACACACGGACGCGCACAAATAGAGAGAGACACACACGCTTTTATTTTTTATGGTAAATATATTTATACTGTACTTGTGCTGGAAAGGTTTCTTGGACTTTTTCTTTGTCCTTGTACTTGAGATTGTACTTGTACTTGAGTAGTGCAGTACTCGTACTTAAGTTTGTATTCGTACTCGAGTACTCTGTGCAGTACCTGTGACGGGGCTCTGATTGTCTTGTCCTGGGATCCAGGTGAGTCTCACACTTCGAGCTGCAGGATCCGACAACTCCAGATCTGTGGGAGGATCCGGCCGCTCTGCAACACAAACACACAACAATAACACAAACACACACTCTGCAACACAAACACACAACAATAACACAACAATAACAACACAAACACACAACAATAACACAAAACACACAACAATAACACAAACACACACTCTGCAACACAAACACACAACAATAACACACAACAATAACACAACAATAACAACACAACAACAACACAAACACACAACAATAACACAAACACACACTCTGCAACACAAACACACAACAATAACACAAACACACACTCTGCAACACAAACACACAACAATAACACAAACACACACTCTGCAACACAAACACACAACAATAACACAAACACACACTCTGCAACACAAACACACAACAATAACACAACAATAACAACACAACAACAACACAAACACACAACAATAACACAAACACACACTCTGCAACACAAACACACACAACAATAACACAAACACACACTCTGCAACACAAACACACAACAATAACACAACAATAACAACACAACAACAACACAAACACACAACAATAACACAAACACACACTCTGCAACACAAACACACAACAATAACACAAACACACACTCTGCAACACAAACACACAACAATAACACAAACACACACTCAACACACAAACACACAACAATAACACAAACACACACTCTGCAACACAAACACACAACAATAACACAAACACACACTCTGCAACACAAACACACAACAATAACACAACAATAACAACACAACAACACACAAAACACAACACACAACATAACAAACAACACAACACACAACACACAACAATAACACAAACACACACTCTGCAACACAACACAAACAACAATAACACAAACACAAACACACAACACACAAACAATAACACAAAACACACACTCTGCAACACAAACACACAACAATAACACAAACACACACTCTGCAACACAAACACACAACAATAACACAACAATAACAACACAACAATCACACAAACACACACTCTGCAACACAAACACACAACAATAACACAAACACACACAACTGCAACACAAACACACAACAATAACACAAACACACACTCTGCAACACAAACACACACTCTGCAACACAAACACACAACAATAACACAAACACACACTCTGCAACACAAACACACAACAATAACACAACAATAACACAACAACAACAACACAAACACACACAAAACAATAACACAAACACACAACAACAATAACACAAACACACACTCTGCAACACAAACACACACTCTGCAACACAACACACAACAATAACACAAACACACACTCTGCAACACAAACACACTCAGGGCCTTTCCACACGACAACATTTTTTGGTCGAAACAGTGAAGTTTTTATTCGTTTTGTTCTTTCGTCCACTGTTTTCGCTGTGGTTTTGGGTGAAAACTGTGTTTTTTGAGAACATGTTCCAGAGGAGAAATCATCAGTGTTTGTGTCGTGTGGACAAACAAACTGCAGCTTTTGGAAATGATGACGTCTCGACCCGTCAACACCAGGATCCTCTGATACAGAGACGTCTGTAGCCTTCAAACTCCACAAACTTAACAAACTCCAAGACCTTTGCCAAAATGTGACAGGTGCAGCCCACAGGGTCGCTCCTGTCGCCCACAACCGAGACACACTGCTAACGCTAACAACACACACCACAGATTACACACACGGATCAATAACAAATATTACACTCAAGTAATTGTGTGTAATCTCCAAAACTGATGGATTTTCAGACCAAGTTATTCTAATAATTCGAGTAAAAACGAAAACTTATGTTTAACTTTTGCAAAACAAAACGGCGATATTTGTGGAATAGAATCTAAAACAGATTAAAGGACCTTAAAGTTTAAGAAAAACAATGATGAGATTTGCATTATTAAATATTATTATCATTGTTACAGCGCCACATACAGGTGTGGCAGGTGTATTACATCGTTTTCACTCGGTGCTTCGTTGTCGTCTGGACGTGAAGATTTATTGATCCGACTCGTGTGTGGACGGGAATTGTTTTCAACCCGCACATGTTGTCGTGTGGACGCAGCCTCAGCAACAACACACACAACAATAACACAAACACAAACTCTGAAACACAAACACACTCAGCAACAGAGTAAACAGTGTTAGAGTGTGAATAAAGTGTGAATAAAGTGTGAATAAAGTGTGAATAAAGTGTGAATAAAGTGTGAATAAAGTGGTTACCTTGAGGCAGGGAGCTAGACACAGAGGGAAGCAGAGAGACGTGCTCTGTGGACGAGGTCAGGGTCAAGCACAAAATATGATTAGTATTATTATCATTATTATTATTATTATTATTATTATTATTATTATTATTATTATTATTATTATTATTATTAGAGTGTGTCTATGAGCACAAACGTTCTTCTACAGCGACTAAAACACAAACATTTTTAGGTAAATCTGTGGTTAGTTTGTTTAACGTGAGCGTGTTCTAGAGGCGCGTGTGAGTCGGGGGGAGCAGCAGGGGGCAGTACCGAGCACAGTGAGGCGTCCGGAGGCGGAGTCCTGGTCGATGGGGGTCTGGGCGCTGCAGGTGTACGTCCCCTCGTCGCTCTCGTCCACGTTGGAGATGGTCAGGGAGTCCTGGTCCTTCCTGAACCTGCAGCCACGACCGGACGAAAAACGGGTCAAAGGAAATCAATAAAAACATTTACTTCATCAGCCAAGAATGTTCAGCTGCTGTGAAGACGTTTCTGTGGTTGGCTGCTCTTGTGGCTGAGCGGCTGGCACACCGAGCAAAAAATGATGTTGTTTTTAACTGAATAGTTGAGATTTAGAGAAAGAGATCGATATATCGTTCGGTCGTATATCGTTCATTGGTGACCTGCCAAACCAAACATTCTCTAAACCAGAACTACGCAAGAACTTAACAAGGACTAAACCAGGACTAAACCAGGACTTAACCAGGACTTAACCAGGACTCAGGACTAAACCAGGACTAAACCAGGACTAAACCAGGTCTACACCAGGTCTAAACTAGGACTAAACCAGGACCAAAACTAGAACTAAATAAACCAGAACTAAACCAGGTCTAAACCAGGTCTAAACCAGGAATAAACCAGGACTAAACCAGGACTAAATCAGGACTACACCAGGTCTAAACTAGGACTAAACCAGGACTAAAACTAGAACTAAATAAACCAGAACTAAACCAGGTCTAAACCAGGTCTAAACCAGGACTAAATCAGGACTAAACCAGGACTAAATCAGGACTAAACCAGGACTAAACCAGGACTAAACCAGGACTAAAGCCAGGTCTAAAATCAAGACCAAACCATGTCTAAACAAGGATTAAACCAGAACTTAAACCAGGACTAAACCAGGTCTAAACCAGGACTAAACCAGGACTAAACCAGGGCTAAACCAGGTCTAAACTAGGACTAAACCAGGACTAAAACTAGAACTAAATAAACCAGAACTAAACCAGGTCTAACCCAGGTCTAAACCAGGACTAAACCAGAACTAAACCAGGCCTAAACCAGGGCTAAACCAGAACTAAACCAGGTCTAAACCAGGTCTAAACCAGGACTAGACCAGGACTTTGGGGTCTTGGGGTTAAAAAAAAAAGACTGTGGGTGATTTTGTAGTAAATTTAAAAGACATAATTTTGAAGACATAATTTGAGGAAAATAAACAAAATTGGCTCAAAAATATCCTCAGAGTTCATCCATCGGTTGCTCTTGATTCTAAACAATTGGTATGGGTATCGGCCTTACAAAACCGGTCGATATATCGGTCGATCTGTATTCTGCGCGAGTGTGAGAGTTGTGCGGAGACTCGGGCCTCGTACCTCCAGCCCAGGTGCAGGGGGTTGTCGTTTTTGTACCAGGTGACGGTCAGGGTCAGGCTGGGGTCAAAGTTCACCTTGCAGTCGAAGCGCACGGTGGAGCCTCGGACCACGGACTGGTGCTCCGGGGCCCGCACGATCCGGGTGGCCTCTGCAACACAACAGAACAGAACGCGGCACGTCGACAAGGTTTAGTGCCAAAAGCAAACGTGGAGAGACTCATCCGGGCGTTTGTCTCTAGAACAGGGGTGGCCAACTAGTAGAAGACTAAGAGACACTTTTTTTTCTGTGTTACTGCAAAGAGCCACATCATACACATGGGTACACATGAACATCATCCCATTTCTTAATCATGTATGCACGCACACGCACGCACACACAGACCTATGCTCAGCCAGATTTAATGAAAATAACCACACCAACATGATAATATTAGTTGTTTTTCAACAGTTAACACTGTGTGCACTGTCTCACACACACAAACTCTCAGTTCAATTCAGTCCAGGTGTTTCGTAAATTTTTGGAAAAACTGCAACTGCTTTTCTGCCTGACTTTTCAAAGCGACCAACTTGTGCTTGCGAAGTTCAGTCCCTTTTGGAAATTCCTGTTCGATGTTAGGATGGAGTGAGCTGAAGTGACGCTGAAGATTTGAAGCTTTGAAATGCGCTAATGCTGCGTGACACACAAGGCAGATCGGCCATTACGTTCAACAAAAAAATATAAACTCTCCCACTCTGTCAAAAACGTCCTGTGTTCTTCTTCATATTTTCGTTTGGCTGTGCTTTTTTCCCTGCCGTTTTGAGAGCTAACATGACGGAAATTGTTTACAACGCAAATGATGTCGCGCCAAAGATTCTCTTGTCGCGCGTTTGACGTCACTCAAACAGGCTTACCTGGTCAGCGTGCCGTCTAGCCGTAGGGGGAATGAATGGTAACGCCAGCCAAGCATATTTGACGCATGTTATGTGAAAGCTCCTGAAGAGCCACATGAAACTAGATAAAGAGCCGCATGAGGCTCGGGAGCCACGGGTTGGCCAGGCCAGCTCTAGAAGGTCAGACTATCGCAACGTCCGCAGAACATCCAGGACGCTGCAGCTCGAGTCCTGCCTCAAACCAAGAAATACAAGCACTTAAGTCCTGGTCTCGGGTCTCTGCACTCGCCCCCTGTGGCTCAGAGACTTTAAAGCGGCTCTGCTTGTACAAGTCTCTACATTAGGAAGCATCAGGTCAGTTAAATACAGTCAATCAACGAACCTGCCCAAGGACGACAGGCGGAAATTAACGCCGGTGCTACAACCTGGTACAAACATCTCTCCTGTTAAAGGTTGTATAGAGGATTTTTTAAGGGAAAAGAAATACAGTGACAGTCCTTTTTCAAATGTTGTGCATGAATGACACCACCTAGAAACATCTCGTCCCGCCTCTTTACTCTAGAAATCACGCTTGTTTACAGCCAGTGCCCGTTCAGAATTACTGTTGAAGTGACCTGTCTAGAATTAATTTAGGGATCGACACATCAGCTTTTAGACTTTTCGTCTGCTTCATTCGCGCAATCGTTGGAAGAGATCTCCAAGAATCACCTCAGTTTGGCTTTGCTCCTTTTCCTCCTTCTCTTCTTCTTTCAGCGACCTCAAAAACTGACTTTCTTTTGCGGCGAACTGGTCGTGGATTCTCGTCCGCCGTCGCGACAAACTTTGTGCAAACTGCGAAGAAGTTACAGTTTGAAAAAGCTGCTAAGAACTGCCTCATAAACCAAATAACCCCCGCGCGCCAGCAAGTCAGTCACACTAGAAACATAGGGAGTTTCACTGACAACCTAACAGCCAATAGAAAATGAGGGAGCCTCGTTATCTATTGGCTGATGTTTATCGGGCCTCACTACGTCCACAGTTGATGGATTTTCATTCTTTTTTTTTTTTTGGTCATCATAATCACAAGGCTGCTGCTTCTCTGTAATGGTATTTTAAACTTTCATTGACAATTTGAAACTAAAAAGAAAATCCTCCATACAACCTTTAATGTAAAAATTGTGCGCTGTCCCTGTCTCAAATAAATAAATAAATAAATAAAATCACGTGTCCAGCTTTTTGAAAAATGTTTGAGAGTCAATCTGTACCTAGTATCAATTTTTTATACCCGCCAAAGTAAAATTCCCTGAGAAATTACATGAAATTTTCTTGATGTTACTGGGTCCAACAAGACTCTGACGTTTAGTGTCTGTGGCCTTAAATCTGAACTGAAAAATCTGTTTTTCTTTCACGCTCACTTACTCCACTTTTTTCTACAGTCTCTGATCACTACAGAAAGAACAAACTTTATGTCTCTCACTTCGTCTTTGGACTTTGTGGATTTTGGAGAATTATGAAAAAAACACTATTAACAACAGCAACATTTATATTCAACTTTCACTGACACCATGGCAATAAATTGATTATTTTTTAAGTTATTTGAGAAAAACTGATTTTTCTGCCAGAGTTTTATGGAATGAATGAGTGAATGATGAATTTCTTGGCGGCGCACAGACCTACATCAGAGTATCAGTGTTTTCAGGAGTCCACACAGTCAAGGATCAGATCTGTACGAACGTGAACTCGTGGGAGCTGGAGGCACCGGGTCGTTCCGTCTCTGGAGCCGTTTTCAGTCGGATTAGTGTGAACGGACACTGCACCCACAACAACACCACTCCCATACACACTAGTGTGGACGGGGCCTAAGTCGTAGGTGTAGCTGTAAATGTAAATGTGAACTTGCTGTTCGTACGCAGCTTTTTTCTTGGAATTCTGTCATTGTTTCACAGGGTTTGGCGTTAGAAGTACTTTTTACTTTTTACTTCAACCTAAACCTTTTCAGTCATGATCTATGGGGTTGTTGTCTATGTTTTGTTTTGTTTTGCAGTGCAGCAAAATAACTGAATAAACTACTACTACTACTACTACTACCACTACTACTACTACTACTACCACCACTACTACCACTACCACTACCACTTCTACTACTCCTACCACTACTACCACTACTACTACTACTACTACTACCACTACTACTACTACTACTACTACTACTACTACTACTACTACTACTACTACTACTACTACTACTACTACTACTACTACTACTACTACTACTACTACACTACTACTACTACCTACTACTACTACTACTACTACTACTACTACTACTACTACTACTACTACTACTACCTACTACTACTACTACTACTACTACTACTACTACTACTACTACTACTACTACTACTACTACTACTACTACTACTACTACTACTACTACCACTACTACCACTACTACTACTACTACTACTACTCTACTACTACTACTACTACTACTACTATTACTACTACTACTACTACTACTACTACTACTACTACTACACTACTACTACTACTACCTACTACTACCTACTTCTACTACTACTACTACTACTACTACTACTACTACTACTACTACTACTACTACTACTACTACTACTACTACTACTACTACTACCACTACTACTACTACTACTACCACTACTACCACTACTACTACTACTACTACTACTACTACTACTACTACTACTACTACCACTACTACTACTACTACTACTACTACTACTACTACTACTACTACTACTACTACTACTACTACTACTACTACTACCACTACTACTACTACTACTACTACCACTACTACCACTACTACACTTACTACTACTACTACTACTACTACTACTACTACTACTACTACTACTACTACTACTACTACTACTACTACTACTACTACACTACTACTACTACTACTACTACTACTACTACTACTACTACTACTACCACTACTACTACTACTACTACTACTACTACTACTACTACTACTACTACTACTACTACTACTACTACTACTACTACTACTACTACTACTACTACTACCACTACTACCACTACCACTTCTACTACTACTACTACTACTACTACTACTACTACTACCACTACTACTACTACTACTACCACTACTACTACTACTACTACTACTACTACTACTACTACTACTACTACTACTACTACTACTACTACTACTACTACTACTACTACTACTACTACCCGTAGTGTTCAGCTCCAGTCAAAGGAAGCTCATCGAGGCCAAGTGTTGTAGAAGCAAATTTAAAACCAGTTCCAGTTCCAAAATGACAGAGAAATGTAATGTAAAATCAACTGGAGCCAGAGTAGATGGAGCTGAAGTCGCCCCCCACGAACACTTCCTGTTTAGAACTCGGCGCCTCACGGTTTATTTCTGTCCGTTCATCCTACAGCGCAGTGTTCGGTCCTGACCTTTGATCTCGAGGCGGACTTGGTTCTCGGCGGTGCCCAGGATGCTGTTGGCGACGCAGGTGTAGGTGCCCTCGTCCTCGGCGCGCGCCCGCTTGATCTCCAGGGTGCCGTTTCTGTGGACGCGGTAGTGCCCTCCGTCCAGACCGCTGCCCTGCCCGTTCTTAAACCTGCGCCAAAAAAAAACCACGTCAGCGTCCGGACTCTGCACACTCAGATCTTTAAACATCACACTTATATAAAAACAGAACTGAACGATTTGTTTCGGGGGGAAAAAATAAATTCTTTATATTTTTCTGAAAAGAACTTTGAGGATTTAAACATTTTAAAAAGAAAGTTTATGCTGGAAAATAAAAAAGAATCCCTACATAATTCGACCTCTGTGAAAGCCCAGTGCCCTGTCAGAACACGGACCGTTTGAAATCCAAAAAATTTGATTTAGCTTCTACGGGAGAATTCTTTCTGGGCACAAGATCCCAAAGCTGCAGTACCTGGAACGGCCACTAGTCGGGACAGTTTTAATATTAGGGCAGGGTATCATTAAGAAGTTGCCGATACGATACATACCTCGATACACAGGCCACGATACGATACATATTTCGATACAGTGAACTTACGATTTGATACGATATATTTCAAATTGATTCGATGCCGTTCAATAAAAATAAAGACTAAATCATGTCTGTGATACTAAAAGTCTTTGTTAAACCACTTCTTCTTGTACAAAGTGAATATGAAACAAAAACATTTTAATCCTCAAAACTGTGAAAATGTCAAATGTGTCGCATGAGCTGAAAAAAACTTAAATCTAGCCAAGTTAAGAAATTAAGAAAGATTTGAGTAAATTCCACTTGACAAGTTAAATTATCTATCAGCGGAATACGATTTTTTTGTTCTTAAAATATGAAAATACAACTTGCTACACTTAAAAAAAGACAAACAACAACCCTTAAAATAAAAAATGAAATTGAATGTCGCTTGAATTTAGGAAAACACTTATTCCATTGGTAGAGTCGACTCAGATAAAGTCAAATGTTCTTAATTTTAATTTTAACGAACCTTTTTGCAGTGTGAATGAGTTTCCTTCCACTAAACAAACAACAAAACTGTAGCTGTAACAAAATAATTTAGTAAAATACACCAAAAATACTCGATACGCGATATATCGATACAGCAGCCCACGATATCGATACTGTATCATTACATTAAACGATACGATATATTGATATTTCGATATTTTTGCACACCTCTATTTAATATAGATTCATGCATTCGAGAATAAAAACGTTTTTGTCGTTTCGCGCCAATGAACAGAGGCCACTGAAAACAACACACCTCCGTCCTGGGTTCATCTTCAGATCTTGATCGTGACCAGCGTTTTTTTTCCTTTTTTCTAAATTCATTTCTGTTCAGTTTATTCCTGAGTGTGATGGGAAAAGTCTGTCTCTTACCATCGCAGCTCGGGCAGAGGCGACCCGAAGAACGGACAGTCCAGGAAGGTGCGGTTGTTCTCGATGACTTTGATCAGTTGGTTTTTAGGAGCCAACATCCGCGGAGGCATGTCTGACAAACACAAGTGTGAGACAAAGAAAAAACATTAAAATACCATTAACCTCTTGAGACCCTGCGGCCTCATACAAGAATGTTACATTTTTGTCTCTTAGCACCATGATACTCCATTTTTTAAAAACTTTGACCAGTTATCCGCACCGAGGGACACTGCCCGCTCCATATTCTGGTGACATCACGACATTACACCAACTTCAGTCAAGGTAAAATGGCGGGAATATCAACAAAAATCTTCTACAGCAGCTCCCAAAAGAAAAAACAGCAAGATAAAGTTTATATCCAAATTTTATGAATGAAACCAGCAGATTTTTTACATTCAAATGTCTCTTATTCAGAAACTAGAGGGACTATTGAAATAAGTAAAGTATCAGAATGTAGGAAAGAGTTACACTCCAACAGGGTCAAGTTAAACCTGTGTCGTCGGTAACGGAGGGAATGAAATATGCTGCACTTTTTGGTCAATAAATCCAAACAGTGATAACTCTTGGTTCTCACTTACATATCCTTAACAAACTGGTTTGAATATTTGCTTCATATAGTTTTCTACCATATGGTACAAGATTAGGTTGAAAAACCTCTGACTTTTTTGACTCATGAGATTTTTTATTAAGAAAGTTCATGGTAACGGAGGGAAAATTAACGGAGGGAAAAATGTTCAAACAAGTAGAAGGTGCAGGATTTTACATCATTTGTCACTTTTTTCTAACGAAAACTTTAATATTACTTCAAAATGAAAAGAAACTATTTCTATAAAATATGTCAGTCCTTCCAAGCTAATTTTTATCATTTTAAATACTTTTTTTTTTTTTTTAAATCATGTCCCTTCATCAACAGTTCACAGATGGAATAACACAAGATATGATGAAATACATCCATTTATTTACATGATTTGCAGGACTTGGAAATTTGGGAAATAATTTTTGTTCCATGTTTCATACATGGTCTGTTTAAAACGTATGGAACTTTAGAACCAAAAATGGTACAGAAAAAAGGTCAACAGTTTCATAAACTAGAGTACATATGTATCTGTTCAATACATTTTTATATCAGATGCAATTAACTTGAATTTGTGGCCTTGCTGTTTACTTCTGCTTGACCGGGACCATATATACATCATTTTTTTGCAAAAAGTGCTTCCTGTATAAAAACAAAGTTTATTTATGATACTTATTAGGTCTTACTTATCCCAAATATCAAGGACAAATGAAAAATGCACATCAGACAAAAGCTCGGGTCTCAGGAGGTTAAAATAAAACACAAAACATGACAGAAACAGATCTCAAAAGGAACAGGCAGAAGCAGAGGCGTCTAATACCTCTCAAAAAGAAAAGAGTCACAGTCGATATACACAAGTCTGGTTAGAACAAGTGGAAAAAAACAAAACACTGTTCCATGTGTAGATTATGTTCTTTTGTAAGGTTTTCTAATTGTTTCAGTGTCGCGCAAACTCAGAGCCAAACACAACCAGAAAAACCAAAGTCAAACAGTCTTCACCCCAAAACGTCTGTGTGTGTTCGTACCCAGCACATTGACGAAGGCGTTGGCGAGCAGGTGTGTGTGTGTGTGTGTGTGTGTGTGTGTGTGTGTGTGTGTGTGTGTTGTTGTGTGTGTGTGTTCGTACCCAGCACATTGACGAAGGCGTTGGCGAGCAGGTACCCGTGGGGGTTGGAGGCGTTGCACTGGTACACGGCGCTGGAGCCCATCTGCACCGAGCCGAACATGATGGTGTCTCCCAGGAGCTGACGGCCCTGAGTCGGTACAGAACCTGAGCGAGAAACCAGAGTCAGAACCAACAAACAAAACACCAACACGAACTTAGTCACACAATGCACTGTCCAGAGGTGGTCAGGGGTGTGTGGTACTCACTGTCCAGAGGTGGTCAGGGTGAGGTACTCACTGTCCAGAGGTGGTCAGGGGTGTGTGGTACTCACTGTCCAGAGGTGGTCAGGGTGTGTGAGGTACTCACTGTCCAGAGGTGGTCAGGGTGAGGTACTCACTGTCCAGAGGTGGTCAGGTGTGTGGTACTCACTGTCCAGAGGTGGTCAGGGTGAGGTACTCACTGTCCAGAGGTGGTCAGGGGTGTGTGGTACTCACTGTCCAGAGGTGGTCAGGGTGAGGTACTCACTGTCCAGAGGTGGTCAGGGGTGTGTGGTACTCACTGTCCAGAGGTGGTCAGGGGTGTGTGGTACTCACTGTCCAGAGGTGGTCAGGGTGAGGTACTCACTGTCCAGAGGTGGTCAGGGGTGTGTGGTACTCACTGTCCAGAGGTGGTCAGGGTGAGGTACTCACTGTCCAGAGGTGGTCAGGGGTGTGTGGTACTCACTGTCCAGAGGTGGTCAGGGTGAGGTACTCACTGTCCAGAGGTGGTCAGGTGTTGGTACTCACTGTCCAGAGGTGGTCAGGGTGAGGTACTCACTGTCCAGAGGTGGTCAGGGGTGTGTGGTACTCACTGTCCAGAGGTGGTCAGGGTGAGGTACTCACTGTCCAGAGGTGGTCAGGGGTTTGGTACTCACTGTCCAGAGGTGGTCAGGGTCTCACTGTCCAGAGGTGGTCAGGGTGAGGTACTCACTGTCCAGAGGTGTCAGGGGTTTGTACTCACTGTCCAGAGGTGGTCAGGGTGAGGTACTCACTGTCCAGAGGTGTCAGGTGTTGGTACTCACTGTCCAGAGGTGGTCAGGGGTTTGTACTCACTGTCCAGACGTGGTCAGGGGTGTGTGGTACTCACTGTCCAGCGGTGGTCAGGGTTTGTACTCACTGTCCAGAGGTGGTCAGGGGTGTGGTACTCACTGTCCAGAGGTGGTCAGGGTGAGGTACTCACTGTCCAGAGGTGGTCAGGGGTTTGTACTCACTGTCCAGAGGTGGTCAGGGTGAGGTACTCACTGTCCAGAGGTGGTCAGGTGTTGGTACTCACTGTCCAGAGGTGGTCAGGGGTTTGTACTCACTGTCCAGAGGTGGTCAGGGGTGTGTGGTACTCACTGTCCAGAGGTGGTCAGGGGTTTGTACTCACTGTCCAGAGGTGGTCAGGGTGTGTGTACTCACTGTCCAGAGGTGGTCAGGGGTTTGTACTCACTGTCCAGAGGTGGTCAGGGTGAGGTACTCACTGTCCAGAGGTGGTCAGGGTGAGGTACTCACTGTTCAGAGGTTGCCCGTTCACCAGCCACTGGATGTTTGGTCTGGGGTTCCCGTTGGCTCTGCAGACCAGGCGCCCGTTCTCATCTGGAGCCAGGACCAGGTTTGTGGGTTTGTCCAGCCAGTAGGGGGCAGCTGTGACACAGGACGGGTCAGGGAGGGGTCATATTAAACATTACAGTACTCAAGTGCAAATGACGTTACTTCAAAAATCCAGAAAATCCTGTCTATGTTTTCAAGAATATTAAAGTGGAGCAAAAATTGAGATCGAGCGATCAGGAAAACAATTGCGATTCTTGTTTTTCCCGTATGGCCCAGCCCTAGTCGATAGTGTAGATTTAGCGTCTGACCTTTGACCTGCACGGTGATGGCGTGGCGGATGCTGCCGAGGCGGTTGGTCGCCATGCACACGTACTCGCCGGCGTCCTCCTCGGAGACGCCGGACACGCGCAGGGTTTTGTTGAAGTTCTCCAGAGAAACTTTGTGCTCCGGAAGCTCCCCTCCTTTTTTAAACCAGCTGATGGTGGGAGTGGGTCTGGACACACAAACACACACACACACACACACACACACACACACACACACACACACACACAACACACACACACACACACACACACACACACACACACACACACACACACACACACACACACACACACACACACACACACACACACACACACACACACACACACACACACACACACACACACACACACACACACACACACACACACACACACACACACACACACACACACACACACACACACACACACACACACACACACACACACACACACACACACACACACACACACACACACACACACACACACACACACACACACACACACACACACACACACACACACACACACACACACACACACACACACACACACACACACACACACACACACACACACACACACACACACACACACACACACACACACACACACACACACACACACACACACACACACACACACACACACACACACACACACACACACACACACACACACACACACACACACACACACACACACACACACACACACACACACACACACACACACACAAACACACAAAACACAAAAACACACTGGTTTAGTCCAGTTTAAGTCCTGGTTTAGTCCTGTTTTACTCCTGTTTTAGTCCTGGTTCAGTCCTGGTTTAGTCCTGTTTAAGTCCTGGTTTAGTCTTGGTTTAGTCCTGGTTTAGTCCTGGTTTAGTCTGGTTTAGTCTGGTTTAGTCCTGGTTTAGTCTTTGTCCTGTTTAGTCCTGGTTTAGTCCTGGTTTAGTCCTGGTTTAAGTCCTGGTTTAGTCCTTGGTTTAGTCTTGGTTTAGTCTTGGTTTAGTCCTGGTTTAGTCCTTTTAGTCCTGTTTAGTCCTGGTTTAGTCCTGGTTTAGTCCTGGTTTAGTCCTGTTTTAGTCCTGTTTTAGTCCTGGTTTAGTCTTGGTTTAGTCTTGGTTTAGTCCAGTTTTAGTCCTGTTTTAGTCCTGTTTTAGTCCTGGTTTAGTCCTGGTTTAGTCCTGGTTTAGTCCTGGTTTAGTCTTGGTTTAGTCCTGGTTTAGTCCAGTTTTAGTCCTGGTTTAGTCCTGGTTCAGTCCTGTTAGTTTTGTTTCGGTGCGGTAAAACCCGTTGTAAATATAAGTAACAGTTTCAAACCTTTAATGAAGCAGTTTGTGGAGAAAAAGTTCATCATAATTTACCCGAGAAACACATTTTTTTCCCGATTCTTCAAATATGTTTTCAACAAAATAAAGGTGTTTTCTTATATTTTGATTTGTGAGAGAAATCCCGGACGTGAAGCTCACCTCCCCGCGGCGATACACTCCAGGAGCAGCTGCTGGTCTCGCAGAACCGTCTTGGAGCTCTCTGTCCCGGACGGCGAGAGGAAGGAGGGCGTGGACTCCGGCACCGTCCGACCTGCACCGGAAAAAACAACATCAACATCCAAAAAAACCGGGACGCTGTCGGTTTGAAGCGGTTGGTGACAATAAAAAACGGGAAACGAGAGCGTGAGGGAAAATCTTTATGAGCTCGGTGAGTCTGTACAGTCATATTTTCTTTGTGTTTTGGTCATTTTTAAGCAGCTTTTTTTGTATTTTACCAAAAACAAAAGACAATTTATGCTTCTCTTTACTGTTGTCCTGTCGATTTGAGCTCCTGAGCCCTGGTTTAGTCCTAGTTTAGACCTGGTTTAGTCCTGGTTTAGTCTTGGTGTGGTTCTGGTTTAGTCCTAGTTTAGATCTGATGTAGTCCTGGTTTAGGCCTGATGTTTTAGTGGTTCAGTCCAGGTTCAGTTCTGGTTTAGATCTGGTTTAGTCCTGGTTTAGGCCTGATGTTTTACTGGTTTAGTCCTGATTTAGACCTGGTTTAGACCTGGTTTAGTCCTAGTTTAGTCCTAGTTTAGACCTGGTTTAGTCCTGGTTCAGTCCTAGTTTAGACCTGGTTTAGTCCTGGTTTAGTCTTGGTTTAATCCTGGTTCAGTCTTGGTGTGGTTTAGTCCTACTTTAGATCTGATGTAGTCCTGATGTAGTCCTGGTTTAGGCCTGATGTTTTACTGGTTCAGTCCTGGTTCAGTTCTGGTTTAGATCTGGTTCAATCCTGGTTTAGACCTGGTTTAGTCCTAGTTTAGACCTGGTTCAGTCCTGGTTTAATCCTGGTTTAGACCTGGTTTAGTCCTGGTTTAGTTCTGGTTTAGACCTGGTTTAGTCCTGGTTTAGTTCTGGTTCAGTCCTGGTTTAGTCCTGGTTTACTGTTTAGTCTGGTTTAGTCTGGTTTAGTCCTGGTTTAGTCTGGTTTAGTCTGGTTTAGTTTTTAGTCTGGTTTAGTTCTGGTTTAGTCCATCATCTGTTTTTTTTTTTTTTGTTTAGTTTTTTTCATTTAAACACAAAATCGAAAACTGAAAAAACGAATCATTATCTGTTTTTTTCATTTTGGTTTTGGAGACAAATAATGAAGAAAATCTTTTTTTTTCCATTTTCTTATTTTTGGTTTTATTTTGAAAAACAAACGAACGAACGACACACAGATTCATCTCGTTTCTGTCCGATGCAAACGTCTCTTCTTATAGGATCCATACGGTCGTGTGGTTTTTTATTCTATTACCTCGACTCTAACGTGTTTATGTGAGTCTGGCTCTGGCACAGTGAGACTGATGAACGGAACTGGAGCCTCTGAGACGAGCCGAGGACATCTGCTCCTCTAACCAGGTTAGACCCAGACCCTGCTCCTGTCAGGCCCCGCCCCTCGCCTTCAGACCCCGCCCCTTGCCGTCAGACCCCGCCCCTCGCCCTCAGACCCTCAGACCCCCCCTCGCCTCAGACCCCGCTCCTCGCCCTCAGACCCCGCCCCTTGCCATCAGACCCCACCAGTCAGTCCCCCGCCCTCAGACCCCGCCCCTCGCCCTCAGACTCCGTCCCTCGCCGTCAGGCCCCGCCCCTCGCCGTCAGACCCCGCCCCTCGCCGTCAGACCCCGCCCCTCGCGCTCAGGCCCCGCCCCTCCCCATCAGGAGCCGCCCCCATCAGACCCCGCTCCTCGCCCTCAGGCCCCGCTCCTCGCCCTCAGACCCTTGCCATCAGACCCCACCCCAGTCAGTCCTCGCCCTCAGACCCCACCCCTCGCCATCAGACCCCGCCCCCATCAGGCCCCGCCCCATCAGACCCCTCCTCGCTCCATCAGACGGCGCTCCTCGCCCTCAGATGGCGCCCCTCGCCCTCAGGCCCTGCCCCCATCAGACCCCGCCCTCGCCCTCAAACCCCGCCCTCGCCCTCAGACCTCGCCCTCACACCCCGCCCCTCGCCCTCAGGCCCCGCCCCTCGTCATCACCCCTCCTCGCTCCTGGTCGCCGCTCAGTGTTCACGCCAACGTCGGGTCGGGCTTCACTCGTCGCCGTCTGCGCGTCTCGTCTCACGTTTATGTCACTTTTAAAGAGAACGGAATGACTTTGGCTCGATGTTTATGTAGATCTGCAGCGGTGACTCGGGCCTCTCCTCTGGTCAGTTTCATTTTCACTCTCAGAGTCAGTTTCATTTTCACTCTCAGAGTGAAAAGGAAACTGACCAGAGCTTCATTTTTCAAAATAAAACCAAAAATAAGAAAACGAAAAAACAACTATTTTGAAACAAGACTTAACCAGGACTAAACCAGGTCTAAACCAGGACTAAACCAGGACTAAACCAGGACTAAACCAGGTCTAAACCAGGTCTAAACCAGGACTAAACCAGGACTAAAATAGGACTGAACCAGGTCTAAACCAGGTCTAAACCAGGACTAAACCAGGACTAAACCAGGACTAAACCAGGACTAAACCAGGTCTAAACCAGGACTAAACCAGGTCTAAACCAGGACTAAACCAGGACTAAACCAGGACTGAACCAGGTCTAAACCAGGACTAAACCAGGACTAAAATAGGACTGAACCAGGTCTAAACCAGGACTAAACCAGGACTAAATCAGGACTAAACCAGGTCTAAACCAAGGACTAAACCAGGTCTAAACAGGAAAGGACTAAACCAGGACTAAACGGTCTAAACCAGGACTAAACCAGGACTAAACCAGGACTAAAATAGGACTGAACCAGGTCTAAACCAGGACTAAATCAGGACTAAACCAGGTCTAAACCAGGACTAAACCAGGTCTAAACCAGGACTAAATCAGGACTGAACCAGGACTAAACCAGGTCTAAACCAGGACTAAAACAGAACTGAACCAGGACTAAACCAGGTCTGAACCAGGACTAAAACAGGACTGAGACCAGTTTAGCTCTGGTTTAGACCTGGTTCAGTTCTGTTATCTGTTTTTTTTTCCATTTTTCATTTAAACACAAAATTGAAAACTGAAAAAACGAATCGTTATCTGTTTTTTAAATTTTGGTTTTGGAGACAAATAATGAAGAAAATTGTTGTTTTTTTTCATTTTCTTATTCTTGGTTTTATTTTGAAAAAGGAACGAACCAACGACACACAGATTGACCGGGTCCTTAACGATGTTTTCTGTATTTGACAGTTTAGTCTGATCTGTTGTGGGTTAGTCCAGCTGAAGCCCGGTGTCCAGTGCAGAGGTTAGTTCGAGGTGATGACGCGGCCGTGACGTCATCGTTTTCCAAAAGCCGCGGTTTGTTTGTTCACATGACAACGCAACACGGACGTTCTCAGATTTCTCCACTCCGGAACTAGTTTTCGGAAGAAACGAGAAAACGAATAAAAACTTCACCGTTTTGACCAAAAAACGAGAACTATGACAAGACATGGTCGTGGTTTACGGCTGAACTCTTGTGTTTAATATTGTTCATTCGTCTGTGGCCAAAACTCAAAAATATCACACTTTTATCAGCGACAAAATTAAGATATAAGATCAATTCAAGACCCGTGAACCAACCTCTGAATTCTAAAGAGCAGAGTTAGAGTTAGTTCCAGCTCTGGTCACTTTTGTTATGGTTAAATCTAGAAGCGAATTTTGCAAATAGTTTGAAGTTCAGTAGAGTTATTTTCTAACACTGTAATAAACTACAAGATCGTCTCTCTGTGTCAAAGCAAAGTCCAAGGATCCAGATTTAGAATTGGTGCCGCGTCTCATTTCTCTTTCCTCGCTTCCTTCTCCTCGATTCTTCAGGAGACGATCTAAACTCCTCCCGGGCCACGTTTACATGATGTTTTTTAATTCCAAATGAACTGTTTTGAATTAAATAGTTTGGAATTAAAATATTCTCCTTCAAATTTACATGGAAATAATAATTCTGAATTGAGATTTACTTGGAAAACTTGTTAAATCGTCTTTATTTAATTCCGCTCAACGTCTGAAGGTAGAGAAGGTTCTGATTGGGCAGAGACACCAACGGATTTACGTCTAAAGGCTTTTCTGTCATCTCGATTTGTTGTTACGCCATGGACACAAACACAAATTCTATCCAGCTGCTGAAATCTGCAGCTAAAAATGGAAATCGAGGAGCAGAAAGAAAGTTTGGAGTGAGAGAGAAACTTGTGAAACCAGGAGGATGGATGGACAAAGCCTGGACTCCAGTGACACCGAAACCATCCTGTCGGGATTCAGAAAGACCCGAATAATTCAAACTGGAACTGACGCTGAGTCTGACGACAGCGACACAGAAGAGGAAGCGGCGCGACGTTTACCTCCGGAGGTCGAGGCCGAGTTGCTCTTCATTATGTGTTTTTTGTCTGGTGCGATTTATATTCCAAAAAACACGGTAATCGTTTTCATCAGGAATTAAGTCTTTACGTCGTCTTTTTAAAGCGGAAATAATTTTTATTTACAATGAAATTCTTTTTATTCGGAGTTAAAGCTCTCATGTAAACGTGACAAATGACACCAATAAATTTTGATTCTTTTCTCTGGCGTTTGCTCCTGAAGTCGCTCTCGGGTTTACTCCTTTATTCCGTCATTTTCTTTGGGACACATTTGATTGACGGCTGAAAAGAGAAGGAATCGAGGAAAAGGAAGCGAGGAAAGAGAAACGAGACGGGTCACAGCTGATTCGGTTAGCTCGGGTGAATTAGTGCGACTCTACTGTCAGCTACGAGGCAGCAGCGGGTTAGAGCGCCCCCCCCGTGTGAAGGGAAGGAACTACAGACCACGGAGAACACAACTCACCACCAGAGGGCGACGAGGCATTATAAGAGGTCTCATTGAACTGCTCCGCTGAAAACACAAGTATTCACACACACAGGTTTTTACTGGGGACCGAGCGGGAGCTTTGGACTCATTCGAGGAAAAACTCACAGTTTTAATGGTTACAGCTGGTTTATTCCATATTGACTTTGCACAGTTTGTGTTTTGACAAATACTGTTTAGTTCTTAAAAACTGTCTGTATGAATAACTGTATAAAAAATATATAAATTATTTCATGTATCACCAAATCATAATAATATCGTATCATGAACCATGTGTAAAGTATAAAGGAGGG